AAAGTTAAGTACTACCTATAAAAAGCGCTTAATAATTAATATTATAGTACTATAATAATTATATAAGTAATATAAGCTCTTTAAGGTATAATAGATCTATAGTAATAATAACCTTACTAATAGGTTTATAAAGTTTTTACTAAACTAAGCACTTAAGAGTCTTATTTTTTATAATAAAGTAAAGATATAGATAAAGAGATAAGTTATATAAATATAATAAGAAATAATAAAAATAATAGGATATAGGATAATAGACACTTAAAAAAAGAAATAGGTTATATAAACTATATAGATTAATAGTAGTTAAATTTATTTAACGTAGGTATATACTTTTAATAGCTATAGCTAAAGAGAAATATACCTAAATAAAATAGTATAAGCCTATCTTTACTAAGTAAATAAATAAATAAATTTATAATAGTATATAACTATAAAAAGTGTAATACTTTTACTTTTCTTGTTTTTATTATATTTTTAGGCTTTTTAGGAGGAATAAGAGCACTAGTGACTTTTACTACACAAGAAAGTTACTAGTGTTAGTATATAGGTAATATAGCTAAAGGTAGTAGGTTATATAATACACTGCCTACTAGTAGAATCCTTACTCTTGCCTATACGCAAGGGTACTACTACACTTATGCTCCTACTTTACTTTGTTAACTAGTTAACTATTAATAACTATAAATTTAACTACCTTTTTTTAACCTTTGTAATATCATAAGATATAGGATCCTATTAATTAACTAGTAAAAACTAACACTTATTTACTATTTTAACTATAAAATTACTAGCTAAGCACTAGACTAATAATATAGATCTAAGTAATACTATAAGAACTTATATACTTTAACCTATAAATATATATCTTCTTTAAAGTAAGTAACCTTAGTAAAGTTACTTATACCCTTAAGAAGCCTCTTATAAAGCTAAAAGGTTTTATTTAGTAAATACTAATTAAGTAATATTAATATTATATCTTAGCCTAAGATATCTAATATTATCTAAAGCTTTATAAGGTTATATAGGTGTAAATAGTCTTAAGTAGTCTCTTAATTAGGATAGTAATAAAGTTACTAAGGTTACCTAAGGACTATATTTAGCTAACTTTTCTATAAGTAAATTTAATAGTTATTTTAGATATTTATAAAATTAGTAAAGTCCTTATAGATTAAAGGTATAAAGATAAATAATAGTATAACCTTATTAGAAAAGGAGTTTAGGTTAAATAACTTAAATATTTATAGTTAACTAAAGTATTTTTATTTAGCTATTAGTAATATTCCTATATTTAAGTATATATACTTATACACTATTAAGCTAAAGTTACCTAATAAAGTTATTTTTACTAACTCTTAATTTTAATATTATAAATACTTTTACTAAAGATCTAATAATTATAAAACTATATTAGAATACTTTAATTAAGTGTTAAAGGGTTAGGTTTTATATAGTCTTATAATAAAAAGTAATAGCCTTTAGCTACTAGTATAGTCTTAACACTATAATCTAACTATATTTTATAAGGTATAATACTTTATTAGAAAATAACCTAAAGATATTAGTATAGTATAGCCTAGGCAGTATATACTTTAACTCTTATATAAAACTATATAATATACTAGGAGTATATATTAATACTAATATAGATTTTAAATCCTTATAAAAGAAGTTTATTATATATATTAATAGACTAAATATAATTAGGTCTTATAGTTATATAGCCTTTATATTAGTATTATAACTTATTAAGCTAGTTATTAACCTTATCTAAGAAAACTTTATAATATTCTTTAAATAATATATTATAGCTAATAATATACCTTTATTATTATATATAGGTATAAAGAAACTTATAGCTAAAAGTATAAATCTAGTAAGTATTATTATTATTTATATAGAAGTATTTAGTTACTTTACTATAAGCTATAGTAAGTTACTTTTTTAATTATTACTACTATAATTAGTAGCCTTTTTAGAGGTTAACTAGACTAGTTAGTAATATTTAAAAGCCTTTATTTTTAAGTGTAATAAGTATATACTTATCTATAAGTTATTAGTTAAAAAATAGCTTAAAGATATAGTAAAGGAGTAGTATTAAAAATTTAGTTTAGATTTTATAGTAAAAGTTCTATTTCTATAGGCAATATTTAAAGGTTAATAAAGATATTATAATTAATTTAGATTTAAAAAAAAGGTTATAATTACTAAATATTTTTAGTTAGCCTAAAACTTCTTATAAATATTAGTATAAAATAGCTTAAGGTTAATATATAGTTATAGTATTCTATAAATATATATTATAAAGGTATATAAAGTTATATAAATTAGTTTATTTTAGGTATTAAAAACCTAAAAAACTTAAAGGTAAAGTAGATCTATAAGCCTTTATATATATATATATAAAGGTACTTATACTTAAAAAAACCTACCTTAAATACCTTAATTATACTTTTATTTATAGGGTTCTATTAACTCTTATATATATCTATATATATCTATAACTTTTTACTTAAAAAGATACTTAACTAATAAATTTAAGAGTAAAGCTTAACTAACTATATAGAAGTATATAATTATATATAAAGCTATAAATAACTTACTTATTTTACTTACTTTTAGACTTAGGCTTTAGAAAGCGTATAAGAGTATTAAGGTCTATATAGAACTATAAGTATTATATAGGAGAAGATATAGAATTATATAAAAGCTTACTATAGTTAATATTATTAAGCTTATTTATAACACCTACTAAGGTATTACCTAAGACCTAAAGCTACTTAGGATAAATATTATAGATTATTATAAGAAAGTCTACCTTTATATAGGAGACCTTAAGCTTATATAGGCTTATAAAAGTTAAGCTACTAGTGCACTTAGTAGTATACTCTTGTATAGGTTAGTATAAGGCCTTAGGGAGTTATTATAGGTATATATAGGACTTACTAAAAGAGTATATACTTATACTACTATTATAGTAGTAGTTACTATATATACTATTCTTTATAAGCTAAATATAAGTTATAAAAAAACTAAGTAACTTCTTATAGTTTTTATATATATTTATACTAGTTTTCTTAGTTCTATATATATAGATTATAACTATATTAGTATTCTATATATAGCTAAAATTAAAGTTATAAAAGTATATAGCTTTATTCTTAATTATAGTATAAAACTTAATTATATACTTTACTTATTAAGTATATAAGCCTATATATAAATATATAAAGTTATATAAGAGAATATACTTTAAGGAGAGGCTTATAAAAAGTAATATATAAAGATATAGTAAAACTAGTATAAGTAATAGTAGCTTTATAAGAGTTAGTAGTGCCTTATATAGAGGGTTATAGGATTATATATATATATATAAAAGCCTATAAAGTAATATAGGCTAACTTAGATAAGTATACTAGCTAATTACCTTTACTAAGGTCCTTAGGGAGGTTTATACCTCTAATTAACTTTAGGATACTTAAAAATATTATAACTAGGCTTACTTATACTTATATTTATTTATAAAGGCTTATATAAAAGTTCTTATAAATATAAGGAAATTATTATATTTATAAATATAATACTAAGTATATATAAAGTTATACTAAATATTATAAAAGTTAGCTAAATTCTAAAAAAAAGTAAAAAGTAAAAGTAAAGTTATATAAAAAGGTATAATTAAAGTAATATAACTAAAAAAAAACTAGTAAAAAGCTACTAATTATTACTAATTAATATATACTATAATAAAAAAATAAAAAAATATATTATTTTACTTATAATAACTTAAAGATTCTATATCTTATATTAAAATAATATAAATTAGTAAAGATTATATAGTATTATAGGTTAAAGTTAAAGATAACTTATAAAAGTTATAAAGGTATAAAAAAAAAAGAAGAATTAGAAAGTTACTAGTAATTAAAAGGGATTAATAGAGGGGTAGTAGACATATAGACCTTATTTAACTAATTAGAGGATATAGATTTATTTTATTTACAGAAGTATATATATTTAATTAGTATTTTACGTGTAGTGGCAGGAGGGGTAGGTGTAGCCCCTTCCCTGTTTTGACGGAGTAAGCCCTGCAGGCTGCCGTACACAATCCCTCTCAGCCAATGCGGCTGGGTAGAGATGGCGCTCACCGGCTGCCTCGCTCGGAGGGGGCCGCAGAGTAAGCTTACACCGAGACAGAGCCAGCACACCATGCCCAGCAGTGGTCCCGAGAACCAGGAAACATGTACGGCGGGGGACCCGGCTCCCTCTCTGGAAACCAGCAAGGGGCGCTGCCGCAGTGAGACATGACAAGCTCGTCGACCTGGAGCCAGGAACGGAACCTGTTTTGCGCACTGGGAAGTCTCCGACGAAGGGGAATAAGTCGTGTGACGCTGCCGTGTTTATTTCTTTCTAGGTCTTCCCTTCTATTTTGCTTCTCAAAATACCCGCGCCGAGATTACAGTGTTTTCGCATGTGCGTCCTGGGCGGTGCGGTCCCCGACCTCCTCTTGGAGACATGTTTGATCCAAAGAAGGAGGTGTCTCGGATGTCGAGAAAAGAAAAACCTGGCCCAGGTTGGCGGTGCAGACCGACCAATCCGCATCCTCCTGGTCCGGCAAGCTGAGCTCAGCCAGCAGGGGGGCCAGGCCAGAGTCGGACCTCGCACACAGCAGCAGAAGCATGCTGCCTCCTCACGTCAAATGCAGGTCTCGGCGGTGAGGAAGCTGCATCGGTAAATATTGGCGGCTTTGTGAGACGTGCAGAGCACGTCTGCTCTTTATTGCGTTTGTTCGTATCCCGCCTCCTCGATAGCTCGAGCCGCGGGCTGCAGATTCATCTTCAGCCCATGTGGCCGATCCAACGACATTCCAGCGCGGTTCAGCTTACTAGTTCGGACTCCCCAGGGGCTGGGACGCGGTTGAGTCGAAATATCGGGGGTTCCAGAACACATACCGTATTGTACACGCTCCCCGGAGCCACGAATGGGCGACCTGTCAGGTCTCCGAACCCCCCTTCCCCATCGCAAGGCTCCCACATCAAACGTGACGGTCTCCAGGAGGCCCCAGCGTGACTGGGACCAATCGGTCTCGGCGCCAGTTTCTGTCCGGTTCCCCGTTGGGATAAAATGTCATCATGATTACAATGCCATCACACGGATAATCCGTACAGGCAATCTCGTCCCAAGAACAGGGGACCGCCTTTCCGTCGAGGCGTATACTACGCCCACGCCCTCTGCAAGAGTTTGTCATCTCTGGATACCTCTCCACGTGGGTGTACGGTGTAGTGTAGTCGTGGTGCAGACAGAGTCTTGTAAGTCCCGTCTAGAACATGCTGGTCCACAAACCGTGGAGGGGAAGGGAGAGCATTGCGGACCAACGAGAAGCGGAGATGCTGAAGAAAAATGCTGATTTTTTCTTTCATTTTTCTCCGATATATCCACAACGGGCAAAATGATACCCACACAACGAGACCCGTTTGACGACCGCCCACAAAAAGCGGCTCGTATACTGACGTCAAAACGTGTGGAAAAGGCCTGTGAGGAGTGAAAATTTTCTCCATCTTCCAGAGAAGGAAAGAGGCAAAATACAAAGTGATTGCTATACAACAACAAACAAACCCACTTGGCGCATCTCTTGGGCTGTGGCCCGGAAACAAACCATGGGAATCCTGCCCAAATGCCTGATGCATCGAGGTGCCCAAGGGGATCGGGACGAAAGAGAAGAAAACTCCTCGCGTGGCCCGTCCTCCCTCCGCCCTCTCTCTGGTTGGATGCGTGTCTGCTCTCTGACAGCCATGAGCCCTGTCGCGCATCAGCCCTGGCAAGAGCGTCCTCACCTTTCCACCCTACGGTCCCATTACGTACATTGGGCATTGTAAATCAACGACCCACGCATGTTGAAAATTCATGGCCCCTGTCGACTGGATACCACGCTAGAAGCACGCTAGAAGGTTAAGAATCCATGCACGGATCATGCTAGCGGATTTGAGGAAGCGGGATTCCGCCAGGTGGAAGCACGCTAGAAAGGGCGGTATAACACCAGATATCAAGCAGACATGTCGTCAAGCCTAATGGATGAACAGTTTTGCTTTTATTCCCTTACAATTTCCCGTCCTGGGTGAATTGAAAGACCTCCCCTGTCCACCGCAAGGCGTTGTGCATATTAAAATTACTCAGCGTCAAGCGGAAATTCCCGGGGGGGGGGGGGGGGGCGGCTAGGGGACGTGATGGAAATCAGCAAGCCCCAACGGGAATCCCGCGAAGACCGACCCAACCAGGCCAGGAACAACATCGTCGGTTGCGGCATCGTCATCACAAACCACGGGTGACGGTGGAGTTTTCGCTTGCATAGCATACATAACCTGCCGCGTAAGGGTTGCAGACGGCGTGTCTCGGTGCACCCCGAAATATGCCCTCCACATGCCTCCCTCTCGCGTCTCGGCAAATTCCCACCACTCATCGCCGACCGAACTCCGTGGCTCGGATACGACAGGGAATAGGTAGCACCGCTGCACCTCGGAGCAAGCCCAGCGCGCAGTACTGTATGTAGAGCACGCAGCAAGAAGCAGGAGAAGCCACACACGCTCTGCCCGTGTAAGAGTCGTTGCCACTTCCAACACACGGGGCGCGCGCCACAGGCCAATGATGCGACGCGCGCGTCGTGGCACAGGGCAGGGCCCGGCGTACACCGCGCCGGCGGTGAGGATAACACGCAAGTCAGCATGTGCCCGTTTGACATCTGATAGGGCGGCCCGTCAAGTGATGGATCGCCTCCCCTCTTATTGGCCATACCGTTGGTTACGCGCAGCCGCAGAGAGAGAAGGGGGTGGGATTCGGGATTTGGGCTTACGGCACCCTGAATAGCATTGCCGGCTATCTGGTCCTCAAGAGCCATTGGCCCCCCCGGTGGTGCTCTGCATACCGTCTGCCCCTCAGCGACCTGTTCCATACTCCATCCCAGCCCTATCTATGAGACCTGCAGCATCAGCGGGTTCGCTGTCACGTTCCATTGCACTCCGTGCTCTGCAAGGAGCTTACCGATGGCCTTGCATTGTAATCATTGTGCCGACACGCCCTTACCCATTGCCGTTTCGCAACCGAGCAGTACGGAAGACTAGGGGTACTGCGTAAGCTCACTCGCTGTCCACACGCGACGCACGCCAGGACGGCTTCTAACGAGGGGCCCGCTTGCAGGGCTGCATGCTCATCTTGCTTTTCCACATGTATGCCATTCAGCGATTCCATGACGTAGATGTAGGTATATGCGAAGGAACGGCAAGGACGGAACAATTGCGATGTGTTTCCTCGGTGCGGGGATAAGGAAGCACGGTGGTCGGCGTCGGGTAGGTTCTCACGGGCGCAGAGAGCAAGCATGGACCAGGCGTTGTTACCGCTGGATTGGGAGCTTTCTTAGGAAAAGAGAAATAAGCTTTAAGGGTCTTGGGTGAGAATCGCGAGAGTCGCCGACACTGGACGGATGTCTGAAGTCGAGGTGCTCCACTCACAGAGCGGGTATCCATAGGTGTTGGTTCTGTTCGTCATTGATCGGGACCACGGCGACAAGGGAACCAACGCTGCGGGTAAGTCGGAAGTAGTAGTAGCCCTCACAGTCACAAAGGAGGGGTCAGGTCTATGACAGCCAGAAAAGACTTGCGGCAGCCTGAAGGTCCCGAACTCCGATTCTCCTTCCTCCTTCCTAAGCCCGCACCATCGTTTAAACCCGCACCATCGTTTAGTAGTAAACCCGGGCAGACGTCCGGACGATACGGGACCGAATCGCGAACCTTGTTTTCCCTACCCTCACCCCCCACGTCTTCTTGCGGAGAGAGTCGGGCCAGGAGATGGATGGCACGGGGTCTCCTCCCCAAATGCTCGGGACGAAAAGCTTCAGTGACCTTTCAGATTAGGGATGGATGTGACGTATACTCCGTACGCTGTGGATAATCGTAACACGTGCCCTGAGAACGCGGGTTCTTGTGTAAAACACCAAGGAGTTTCCTATCCTGCCAGGCACAGCCGCCCCCGATTCCCCGCGACTCTAGGAAAGTCAAATATGAAGAGTGGTCACGCGCGGAAACTGGGCGGCCAGATCCAATATCCCGGCCTCCGCTCGGCTGCCGCAGTGGGAACACCACACGTACGAAGACGGCGGAAACAAGCTGCCTCTTGACGTGTGACAGTGGCTTAGATGTTTCTCACGAGAGATGTTGACGGCATGTAGGGGCTTGGATCGCTCTTGGAACAGGACCAAGATTGGATGAACCGGATTCGTCGTCAGAGCCAGAAGGAGTGTGTGATCGTTAGCATGCATGCAGCAGCAGCAAGCCACGCTCGATGATGCCGTGGGTTCTGACACGTCCAGGCCAAAGTCGCAATAGGCAGACAGGTTGGCAGAGTGCCTGATGGCTCATAACGACTCAACAGCAGTGGGCGCGACTCCTGGCTGATGGACGGTTCGATACCATAGGCTGGTCGGCTAGATTAGTGATAGTTGACGAAGGGGGGGGGCGTGTGCGTTGAGTATCCCGACTTGGGGTTGAAACCGCTCACCCCTGCCAATTCCGTTTCCGCCATCTGACTGATGAGCAATCCTCATTGATGATGAACCCTTTTTTCCCCATTGACAGCTGTCCTATTCATCCGTGCGCGATCGCGGTGCCGATGGGCTCCGGATACCCCCAATTCCAATACAGTTTGGACGACCACAAACTATTATCCCAATAGACTTTATTTTGGTTTGGGTGAAGCCGGACGACGGGTCAACGGTCCTGGTTGGGTTTTTGTCATCCCTAGGTAGACATGTTCCGTGCGACCCAGTAAACGGGGATCCTTGGTTTCGTTGCCGTCTCCAGGGTAACGGTGCGTGCCATGATGTCTGTTTCCTGGCACTTGATTGACGCTCTGTCCGCAGTTCGTGCCTGACAGCAATCGACGCACGGAAGTATTGAGATAGATGGACCCTCAATTGGGCGATCGTCAGGCTTGCCAGCGACGTGTTTCTGCCGCCGTCGTCACCCGGGGCAATTGATTTTTGTGCAGGGTCGGATAGTTACGAAAGCCGATCATCATGACCCTGTGGCTGGGGGCCCCCATCCAGGCACCAGCCGTATAGACGGGATTGCAAGCGAGAGCGAGATACGGCTACGCGTTAAACCCAACGCGGAGCGGAGAGTTATAGTCTGTCAGCAGTGAAGAGCAGGTCTGCATCCGTACCTCCGTACCTTGGGGGGAGTGCGAGTGGACTGGTACGTTGCCTTCAGCCCTACAAAGGAAATGGGCTCGGAGCCATTCGTATTTCCGTACGGTTCCAAGGTAGGTAGACTAGGTAGACGTGGGTTGGCCGCAAAGGGTTGTGATTGGCGCGTGTCCGACGAACCTACGGATAGTGTATTGGTAAGAAAACGCCAGTCAGCCAGCTAATTAGCACTCACCCTGTCGCGTCTCGTCTCAGGCTCGCATCCGCAACCCGCCCCAGGACCTTTGCAACGAAGCCGACGGGCGACCGGGGCGGTGCAAGCTGTGCTGTGCAGTGGAGTGCTGTGCTACGCTGCGTGAAGGTACGGCATGAGTTGCTCTGGGCCCGCGGATTCGCGGCCGTACTACCGTAGGTATGTCGCAAGTCGTGGCCTTCCCCCACGCTGCGGCGCCTTGTATTGAGTCGGGATCTGAAGGGACTATGGTGGTGCTACTGGCATTATCCCGATTGGGAAAAGACGGCGACATCAGGGCCTCCTTCCTCGCAACCTTTGCCCAGGGCGAACAGTTGGGTTGGCAGCTGTGGATATTGGGACGGCATTGGCATTGGCATTGGCAATTGAGGCCCGTCCGTCCCTGTCCTTTCGCTTGCTGGCCTCAGCTTGTCGCAGATGACCCGTGTACGATTTCTGTTATAGCTTGGGGGGGGGTGGGTAATGGAAATTAGAGCCGTCGCGTGCCTGGCTGCCAGCAGAGATATGCCGGGGATCGGGGAGAGTGGCCTTGGGCTTTGTTCGCGACATTCGTCAGCCGGGCTAAGATGAAATGACGTGCCCGACCCGACAGACGACTGTGGATTGGTAACGTGGAGAAGCAGGGCCGCGGTGGTGTTGATTGATCGACAGTCCGGTGGTTATTGCGGAGTTAGGTACGGAGTACCTAGGTATGCTATCCCCTATGTCCCCGCGGACGGTAGAGATTTGGATTGATTACAGAGAAAAACTAGCTGACAAACGCTAACGATTACTTATCCATCGTGACTCGAAGGGTAGAAGCAGAGCAGGAGGTACGGGGTTTCGTGGATACGTACCCAAGGCCGCCCATTGGTGTGCGCGGCAGGGGCGGGGCAGTCGTCCTTTCGCTCTTTTCGTCGAGTGCGTCAGACCCAGACGCGCTGCTGCTTAGGTAGGCGAAGAAGGCGCACCCGCACTCCGTGCACGGCGCACCGGGCAGCAGCGTAGGTAAGCTGGAAAGTCCGAACACCGCCATGCCTTCAAGGGTACCTACCTGGCTGGGCGGAGGCTCGGCAAGCAGCAACCGTGCCCCCTCGGCTTTTACTGATGACAAACGCCGCCCAAAGTCCACGACCCGCCGTCCACAATGATTATGCGTGTGCGATGAGTCTTCCGCCGGCCTTTCCTTCCCACCCCCCCTTCTCCTCTGCCCCATTCCCCGGTTCCTTGGGTAAGTCATCCACTCCCTGCACCTGCACCGCACCACCGGGGCCTCGCACACCACACCCCTCCCCCCTGGTCACCGCTTCCTCCTTGTCTTTTCTTCTCTCCGAGCCCGACATTGTCCAGGTCAGCGAAGCAAGTGGATGGAACCCAAGTTAAAAGAAAGTGTTTCCCTTTCCCGGCCAGCTGTAGAGCTCTCATCACCATCCAGCTTCAGCTTAACAGCCTCACAGACAGACCAAGATCGGTATCCCATTCCAAGAAGAAACTTGATCACTATATAACATCACCGACCCTGTCTCTCCGTCTATCTGTCTGTTCCCCGCCCAAGTACCCCAAAACAGGCAGACACTCGCCATCAGAGCATCGTGGACAGGCCAAGCAAGCTAGCCCAGGCATCCCTGCTCCAACCATTTACCATCACATCAAATCGACCCCCGATTTCGCTTTGAGTCATACCTCCCAAAATCACGACATATCAGTCACCGTCGGTGCACAGTCACACAAAATGTCGACAACAACCACGGCCACCGCTGCTTTTCCTCCCCACACACAACAACAATTCCGGTCTTCCTCCTCCCCTCTTCGCCTCGCCGTCCAGAAGAAGAAGATGAGCATTACCCAGACCTACTACCTCGCCCACAAGGCCCGGGCCAAGCTGTCCTCGGAGGCGGCTCGCGCCGACCACGACCTCCGCTTGCTCGTCGGCCACGCCAACCTCCTCGACTCTCTGATGCTCGACCTCGCCGATGCTGAGCGGGAACAAGAAAGATGGTTCAACCAATCCGTCCGCGGTGCCACCAAGACCGAGGAACGTCACGTACAATGGGCCGACTCCGTCGTCGAGGACCCAGAAGACGACTGGCATGCCGACGACGCCTCCGACTCGGACGACTCCTCTTCGGATTCCGACGATGATTACGACGAGCATGATATTGAGATGGCGAACACCGTCTCTCTCCGCCGCATGCCCTCCGCCTCGGCTGTCCCCACATCACTAAAGATCACTACCAAGGAGGTGTCAGAAGACTACGACATGGAGGACGACCTCGAGGAGGACTACGCACAGCTCGAGCTCGTCCGAACACCATCCCATTCTAGCAGCAGCTCACCGCCAGAGCTGGAGCACGACTCCGACATCTCAGATGACGAGTCGATGCCTCCGTCCCCGCCAAACGCCGTGCTCACTTTCACTGAGAAGGATGCCAAGGAAGAGATCTCGCAACAGCAACAACAACAAACCGACGATGGCTCCTTCTACTCAGAAGGCTACTACTTGCCGCCTCGTAATCCAGCAAGGCTCGTGTCTGCCATCTCGGTGTACTAAAGAAAAAGTACACGTCCGAGCATGGTCTCACACTTCCGTGTCTGTGATTTTGTATGATCCCTTCTTTTGGTCTATACAGCGAGCGTTTGGCATATTACGGCGTTTCCCTATCGATACCCCAAAACTATGGCATGGGATAACGATTATGGCACCTTTTCATTTACAACATGACAGCAATGTCACCAGTCTCGGGAACTTTCTACTCATTTCATTTTTTTCCTATGTTGTAACGAAAAGCAAGGCACCGATGTGGATCGTATTTTGGGGGCCTTGATGGATATTGGGCGATTATTGGGGATTTCACTTCTCTTCTGCTGCCGCTCCCCGCCTCCCTATCTTGGAGATGCGCGGGTTGAGTGGTCCAGCGTTGTGTTACAGACAGATAGATACCAGTGCCGCTAGGGGGTTGACACCAGTTCCCCCCTTGAAAAAGCGGCCGAGAATCAGAAATCAATTGAAACAAACTTCAATCTGGACCCCCTCCCCATTCCCTAAGTTTTTTTTTCTTTTTCTTTTCTTTTTTTCCTTCCTGCAGATGTTTCCGCACGGGAGGAGATAATGATTGCACCATTGGTTTTCATACGTCTCGTCGTGCGGTTGAAACTGGTTGACGAGTCATTTAGGCAGTCCACATGATTCACCAAGTACCTAGTCGGTAATGGACTCAGTTGCATCGAAGAGTAAAGGGGAAAAAAACCATCACACCTTCAGGCACCAGATGCGCGCCGTGCGATCTCGGCAGATCGGCCTCGCACAATTCCCCATTCCTCGTTTACCTCGTCTGAGAGACACTAAGAACCCCAAGACTCGCTCAGCTGGACCAATTCCGTCCGACATTCTACGTGCACCCCCTCCAACCAGTTATCTTGGCACTACGCCCGTTTGGCTGCGAAAGCCGTATCGCGGACGAATCACGATGGAAAACCTGTCGGACTTTGGCGGTGTGTTTTGACTAACTCCCTTCCCCTTCCGAGGACAGTCGGGTTTAACACGCCAAAAAGCGCTGCCGGGATGTGAGCAAGCGGAAGGCCTTCGTTGTTCTTCGACTAGTGCCCGCCAGGCCACGCCCCCCCCTTCCGGGCCAATTGCACCGAGAGAATGTTACCGACAGTATTCGCCGGCGACAGGACAAGATTACGAATGCGGCGCTGTATAGTGACCGACACTCTACGCCAGGATTGTGGCCGGTGAAGGTTTGACGAGCGAGGCGGCGACTGCGACGACGACGACAATAAATACGACTAGGGTGACGACGATGGCAGCGGCTGCGTCTTGTCAAACAATGAAGTGACTCTCGAATGAGGCGATATGAAGCCGACACACGAAGAAAACATAAAGGCGTGTGTACATCCGCATACGACAGAAGCAGGGGTGCGTGGCCTCAACAGTAAATGCAGGTCGCCGACAGTCATCAATCTCCTCCCCGCTCTTCCCCATACCCATTTGCTGGCGCTGGCTGTTCCCACAGGGCGTGCTTGGTGACGGACGAATCCTGCAAGACACTGGAGACGGCGAAGCCACCAGAAGCTAAATCGAGGCCAACGCCAAACTGGCTTCTTGATTTCCACGAACGACCAGAAGGGTGAGCTTACGCAAGACATGTCAGACAAGAGTATCCAAGAGACGGGGATGGCAACGGTTAGAACCCGTTCGAGGCCCCCCCCCCGTTCGGGGGCCGGCTGCTGCGGCGCTGCGGGTTTAGTGTACAGTGGCCGCTTGGACCTCTGAGCACCACGTGTACTCCGCCTCTCTGTCAGGCGGAAGCGACCCGTTCACACACCCCTTCCCCCGCCTGACATAAGGGCGCAGCAGGCAGCGAGAGCTCGCTTCAGACTGGAGATTGGCAGATTAAAGGAAATGGCATAGCGGTTTGGGGCTTGGCCTTGGCCTTGGCCTCCTCGTCTTCCTCGTTTATGTCGCAAGAGATGAGCGTATCGGTCCCTGTTATCAAAAATTGTCAGATTTACGTGTTGCCAACCAGCCTGGGTGTGCTGCTGGACAGCGCATTGTGGGAACGATGCTGACAGCCACATGGCCAAATCTCGCGGTGAGCTCTGGCTCGTCAGCGACAAGCGCAACAGAGGTTGCAGGTTGGAGTTATCCCGTTGACCGGTGTATGAGTCAAAACGTGTTTGCACCGCAGACCAGCAGTTGACATGCCAGCGCCGATTTCGGTCCGCGACGGCCGGCACAAGTACAAATGGGCCGAAGGGGCGGACGATGGTAACAAGAGCGAAGGGCGAGTGTTTGAGAGGAAGAAGTTACGTCGATCCAGCGCCGTCCGCCGCCGCCGCCGCCGCCGTCGGAACGCTAAACCGGTCATGTCTGTACAGGGCATCGCAGCAGGCGATTCAGGTCGCCAACGTCGCAGTCGCTGCTACATCCGTCGGACAAAATAAGGGACCATCTCAAACCCCGCCTTTTGTCACTCGAAACTTTAAACATGACTTGACCGGACGGCTGTTAGTTCCTCGGCGGCAAGCGATAGTGACAGGAAAGCACCATTTGTTTCGCCTGACATGCCAGCATCCCCCTAATCGGAGCCCTCGACGACTGCGACCGACGAGGTCGCGATGCATTTTCTTTGCCTTCCTTGCCTGACCGCCTCCCTCCCCGACACCCTGGTCTCGCCAGCCAACCCTACTTTTTTTTTTCTTTTTTTCGCAAGCCCTGCCATTCTCGAGAAGAAGAAGAAAAAAAGCAAATTTCCTGAGAAGATATTTCCCCGTCTTTGCTTGCTTATCGTGGAGTACGATGGGCGGTGAAGAAAGGGTCCCTAACCAACTAGACAGGCATAATGGGAAATTGGTCCCAACCTCTTTGCTGTACAACGCAGTGAATACGGCTGGCTTCGAGGCCCTGTGAGAGTGTGCGCGCGGCGTGCAGGTGACACGTCCGCGGCCTCTTTTACTTGCCATTCTCCCTCCTCTCACGCCTGGGGTGTGTGGCCCATCTGTATAGGTACCCTAGCTGCCTCGGTCGTCGATCATCTGAGGCACTGCACTGCATTTGCACTGGGCGGGAGGGGCTGCATGGGATTTGTGCAAACGAGTACGGTGCACGGTCCAAGCTGGTCCTGGCCCCCATTCTTGCTGGATGACGAGCGAGTATCATCGTGGGTCGCACGCAATCCCGGTCGCATATAGCAAAGGGACGGATTGATTTTTGCGATGCGTCGGGGGAGGGTGGGGGGATGGGCAGTGTAGAGGTCATGATGGCCATATCGACATAAAAATTTCCATCACACCGTATTACAGGTAGTGCACGATGGTATGGTACCTGATAGTATAAACCCTGCCCCTCTAGGACAAAGGACTTCTTCCCTATCGATGGTGAGGGGAGGTAGGGGGGGGGGGGGGGGGCGGCTACCGGACCCATGATCTTCAGACGTGCGTCCATCATGTCATCTGCTCCACGGGCATCGTGGCGCGTTCTGCCATCCCGTTGGGCTGTCGCCGATGATCTCCTGATAAGGGGGCGGGCTCGCGATTCTAGATCTCTGGACGAGAGGGAACCCGAGGTCTCGACTTCCAGGTGGCGGACGCGCCATGTGTGGCTTGGCCCCCCGTCCGCCCTGCACTGACCCATTGTTCTCTAACTCGGCTCCCTGAGTCCACGTTACTCTGTACACGTACGCGTACTCTCTCTCGTTGGACCACTTCGCGCGAAGGATTCGAAGCAGATTCGGCAAGGGATTGAGGACCCCGGGTGGTTTCGTTGACATCAAACGCTGTCAGAGAAAGAAAGAAATGGGCAAAGGGGGAGCAAGTCATCCGATTCTCATGGAACGAACCCCGCCTCGACGACAACGGGGCGGTCTTCTTGTCGCTTCTTACTCGTAGGCCAGGGGTTTTTTTCTTCATATTTTACGGTGTGTATGCAATCAACCTTACAATCGTGCCGCAAGCAACAGGCATCCATCTATTGTTTACCGACTTCTTGCCCCACACCCTCATTGTTATTATCATCATCATCATCATCATCACCACCGCCGCCATTTGAAAGTAGTTCAGGGCTCGGCATTGGAATCAAGCCTTGGATTTTTCCCAAAGTCTAGGACCTACATGTCCCTTCCCTCTCTCTTCGATATAGTGTTGCCCAGGTCTCGAATGGATTTACTGCGGACCCACATTGGTGAAAGAACCAGGGGTACAGTGGGGAGGGCGTGTCTTTACTGAAAAGTTTTGTGCAAGCCGGGGTGGTTACCGGTATGGGCCTGATTTCGTAAGCCGATGGCGAGCCGCACAGGATTATTCATCATCGTACCCACACTTTTCCGCGGCGGGTCTCGAGCACGTCTTTGGTTGGAAATCAAAAGATACGCCCCCCCCCCCCTCCTACCTGCGGGCCGTGTCTGCAAGAGTGGTTAAGGTTGGTTTGTTTGATCCACAGTGCCTTTGCTGCCATACCACACTCGACTTTCACACACTTCCCCGTTTCGCGGTGGCGGCAATTGGCGGAATCTGTCCAGGGTTTACGACTTGCCGGCCACCGTTCGTTCCCTCGACGCAGCCGTAGCCGGGCCTTTCTGCGGCGGGCGACAGAGCTGACCGCCCTTGTGCCGGGCATTTAGTACCGTCAAGGTAATCTTTTCTACGCGGTGGCCGCAGTGGGCCCCGGGAGAAGGGGGGGGGGCAGTCATGCGTACTCGCCGGCGATGCGGCACGGTTGCCTCTGCATCCCCTGATGATTCTCGAGACAGTTGAAACGGCGACGCGGAACGCGGGACGTGAGGATTTCTTCTGAAGCAAAAAACGGCCGCGCTTCCCAAACGCTGCTACGCCAGCCCACACGCCGCCAGGGCCTTCAATGAGTCGTCGCCCCCCCATTCGCGTCTCACCTCGGCACCGAATAGAGGGGCGGGAGGGAAACTCCGCGCCGAGCCGTTCGGTCGATTGTGCTCCGAGGCGAGGATATCTCAAGCTGCCCGACGGCTTATTCACTTACCCCGTTTACATATGTATCCGTCCATCCCTACGGCTCCGGACGACATGGGAGGAAGCAAGAGTTGGCCCGTGGCCGTCCGGGTTCCTTGGCATCGGCTGCTGTTGCTGCTGTTGGCCGGTGTGGCCTGCGCGTCGTCGTCGTGTTCATCCGAGTAGAGGCGACGAGAGTGTGTCTGCCACTGTCTGGAGGACGGGATGACGGATGGCCTGGGACGCGCGTGACGTAGACTTGTTGACGAGCGCGATTAGCGTCCCGTGATGGATGGTCTTCTACCACTCCGTTGCACCGCACAACCCAACTCTCCAAGCCTCGAGTCCGTGGCGCAGATAGGGGACGTTCACAGGCTAGGCCGCGCGCCGCGCGCTGCGCTTTCGCTTCTTGCTCCCAATCCCGCGGGCGCGCTGTGGGGCGTGGAGTGAAGGGGAGGGGATGGGGGTGCGGAGCGGATTTCGCATCAACGAACGTGCGGCCCCCCGTCATCGTCTCTGTCTCTCTGCTTGCGCCGCTTGCCTCGGCTCCTTCTTTGCCAGTAGCCCTTTGCCTAGGCCTGCTTACTCTAACCCTACAAGTCGCTAGCCGACGGCGGATTTGTCTAGGCGCGGGTTCCGCTCTGCCGTCGGGCGCCGCACGAGGGAATGGCTGCGGTGCCTCGGAGAGATGCCAGAGTCCGTGGGGGGGGGCTTGAAACATTTCGTCGACTCTGGGCCCCCACATTTTAGGCATTCATCCACCCCCCCCCCCCCTCCTTCCTCCCTTTTTTTCCTCTTCGACGGTGTCGATCTCGCCGGTGCCGTTCCCCTAAGAATGATGAAGTCATCCAATTGTTCATCACTCAAACGGGACGAGGCAGATCAGTTCGTTCGGACGATGGGACTTCCTGGTGCGCGTGGTCCTGGATTGCCACCACCCCCCAAAGAGATGATGCTGTCATGATTTGCGGCGAGGGGCGGCTTGGCAGATCGGCAAGGGGGAGGTCAACGATGCGGCTCGGCCGGCTTGATTTGACATTTGGCGATCGGGGTTGCGGATCGGTGTATTCGCCTCAATGCTCGTCATGGTTGAGCTCATCCATATTCCGCGGTGTCCGTCCTTGTCGCAGTCGTTTGACCGTGCGGTTGGGAGCCGTGAGCGATGCTCGCATCGTTGGCTGTTGGGCGGCCGTTGTTGTTACCGGCCGGTCATCGATGCCGCCGGAATCAGTGCGCAATGGTTCTCTTGCCCCCACACACACATCTCGTCGTCCGCCATCGCCCGTTCAATGTGAGCGCGGAAGCCCGGGGCCCCGGGTCCGGTCCGGCATCAGCTTATCGGACGAGTGGGGACACCGGTGCGTGCCGGGCCACGGCCACCAACGGCTTCCTGGGTTCCGTCGAAACAGTCATATTCGGGTTATTTCTGATGTACATCGTTGTCTTCCTTGGCTCCCTATGTATTTCTGTGACCCCTTATGGCCGTGGCCATGAGTTGTACTGGATGGGGCATGGATCCTCGAGGGCTAGATGCCACGCAGGTTGACAGCGCCAGATCAATACACTGGGCCGAGTGCTTCCGAGCCCGATAGTACTTACTGCGTTAACTGTGCCCGACTCAAGCTCAGATGGCCCCGTGTATGTTACTAACGGCGAGCTAGCTGCTTAAGAGACTAAACCCTTCCTTCTCGGCTCTTTTCCTGAGGCAAGGGCATTTCCCAACCGCAATGGCCAAAGGAATACAAGCATTGCCGGTTACAAAACAAATCAATTTATGGTGCGTCGCTCTCAAACTCTCCTTTCTTCAATACCAGACATTCCGGTAGAGCCGTGGCATCTTCGGGCTTCGATTGCTGTAATTTGGTCATGTTGTCTTCCACAACATCTGCGTCGACACCTTCTGGGGGTCGTGGTACCATTGCATTGACCGGAAGTTCACTTCCAAGTTCTATGCACGACTGGCCCGCTGTTTCCTTGCTAATGGCCAAGGCCCATTGTCTGATTTCCGAGATCGGAATGCAGTCATGGATCTGACATGGACGAGTTATCACGCTCAGTGATGACCACCCACGTTGAGCTTCTGAGCCATGTGGAGAATCGCCAGGGCGATGTGGGCAGTTGGAGCTGCGGTCGTCCATGATCCCGTCCGCGGCGTCGTATGGACCAAAAAACACCATCCATAGCAGGGAACTTTGCCTTCCCTGCGCTACGCTAAGCAGCTTTGAGTACCAACAGGGTGCTATGGGCTCCGGTTGATGTTGGTTGTAATCCTTGGCCCGCATGCTTGGCCATGTGCTGCGCAGGAGACAGGCCCTTTTCCTCCTCGATTTTGTTCACAGCCTCGTCTGACACGATTGAATGATTTTGGGTTCGCAAGACTTGACCACGGGTTCAATGATTACTACCACAGAGGTGGCGGCGCTGACAGGGTCTATTGTTGCTGGCAGCAGCGGCTATGCGGTGCTCTGTTCGAGAACCAAGTGTGCATTTTCGGCCGGTAGGCGGACGTCAGCGAACGAAAATAGGTAGCTTGCTGGAAGGCGAGGCACCTCCAAAGCGCCGAACGACCGCAGCTCCAAGTACCCTAATGGGTGTATCGTAGATTGGCTGTACAAGCTTGTCATACTTCTGATGACGGTCTATTCCGGAGTGCGTGTTCCCACACTCCGTTTTTTTATGATTATTTATCCATCGATTATCATGAGTATTTTACATGAATATCCCCATGAAGAACGGATATCTAGTCTGAGTGAAAGCAAAACAACCTTCGTCAAGTGTATGTTTGGGGTATAGGATCCTTCAGCAGCCCCTGGCTATGCTGCAGCGGATTGATATGTACATCTTGTTATCAAGTTTCTTTCGGGACCGAGAAACGAATCATCTCCGCGTCTCCGACGCGTCTAGTTCTGCGGCGTGGCCATACCGCGGGTCCTGCGCGTCCAGCTCTGGCGGTTGCATCATCTTGGGGACCTCCCCCATAGAGTACGGCGAGTGATCGCGGTACTCCCCATGAAGCTCGGACGGCGCCACGGACGTCGTCGGGGGCGGGTTGGGAGAATACGACTGCTCCATTTCTTGGGGATAGATCGGGTCTTCTACGGCGCCGCCGGTCTTCTGGCCGGGAGCCCGCTTGTGCTTCCGCCGTCTCATGAGATAAAACGCGGCCAGGCCGATCAGGGCTATGCCTGCAACGCCTCCCACCACACCACCGGCGATGGCGCCAGTGTTTACCGAGCCGGATCCGGAGTCGTCAGGTGCGGGATCCGCGCCGGAGAAGAAGCGGGAACCGGAGGTGCCGGACTTCATGAGCCCTTCGACCCCTTCAGAGTACTGGACACTCGCCAAGTTTCTGTGGCTCGTTAGCGACCCGGTGGCGAGCGCACTGGAGAAGGCGTAGCTTACCCTTCGTTATACCAGGCCTTGATGGCCCCCGGTGAATCGTAGCTAGAAGCATCGGCGTTGTACTCGTCCTTCCACTTCAAATCCGTCAGGTCGAAGATGCCCACTCCCTGGGGAAACGGGTCCGGATCGCGGAAGAAGTTTGTCGAGTTGTCGTTCCAACGCATCCGGTCAATGCCTCCAAAGGTGACCATCTGGCGCTGACCAGCGACGACGCACGACATGCAATCCCGCGGCGAACTGGGCGTGTAGTCCGCCTTCATCCAGACGAACCCGGGGAGCGAGAGGACGTAGACCTCGTCGTAGGTCTGTGAGTTCGCTAGGTTGCTGCCGCCGAACACAAAACTAGAACAAGGTTAGCGTACTGCGATCGGGGCCGTCCGATGAGGTCCTCGTCCGCCTACATCTCATAAGTGTTGTTCTGGCTCACGGCGCCGACTGTGCAGTGCCACATGCGCGCGCCGGGAGCATTCCCGCTGGTCTTTTGGGAATACCACACCTTGGTCAAGGGGTCCATGATGTAGATTGTGTCGAAACCAAGCCAGCCCACGTTACTGTTGCTCTGCCCGTCTCCGATAATGTGGGACCTCCCGCCAAACATCATGACGAGACCGTTGGACCCATAACCGGGGACGTAATGCGCGCTGGCCCCGACCACATTGCCAGAGGTTGAGTAGGGGGCCTCTGTGTGGTTTGTCCACGCCTGGTCCGTCGCCGTGTAGTTAAACTGCAAGAATCCAGGCACGGGGCCCTTAGGGTTCGGGTCGGCATAGTCGCCGGAGAAGCCGCCAAAGTAGAAACCCGAGTCGGGAGTGCTGACGTAGGCGGCGCCCTGTGAGCGGGTGAGCTGGGTGAAGAAGTCGTGGCCGGGCTTGATCTCGGTGCTCCACGAGCCGCCCCCGCTGCCGTCGGCGCTGAACTTCCAGAGGCGCGGGGAAGGCGGATCGGCGGCGTACGACGTGGCTCCTCCCCAAATGTAGAACGAGTTCGACGAGGTGTCGGTGAATACTGCCTGCCTATTCATCTTCGGGGCGCCCTTTTGGGTCTGCTTGATCTCCACGTCGGCAGGCTTCCAGGACTTGGAGAGGTCGATGGAGAGGGTGCTTGACAGTGGCGAGGACGGCCTCGAGGTGTTCTTCCCGTTGCCAATGTGCTGAGATACCTCTCCTCCGTCAAAATAAGCCCAGTCGCCGATGACGGAAGCTGCATATCGTCAGTTGCTTCCCCTCGCTAGGCTCTCGTGCGAATCAGGTGAGACTCACATCGAGCAAAGACTCGTCTTAGGTAGTTGGCGACCGAAGGAACATCCAATACGCCAGCGTCGTCGGCGCTACAAGCCGGTGAGAATTGAGCCGCGGCAAAGAGTGCCGCCAGCCATCTCTTCGACACCATTATGGTGGTCGGGCGCGGGAGGGGCCTCCGGACGAGGTGTGAGGTTGTCTTAAGCCGAAGAACCACTGCGATGCGCCACAGTGAACTAGGGAGGACGGTGTGCCGGGAGGTTGGAAGCGCCGCACTCAAAAGGCGCTCTTTGAGAGAATCGCTGCAACCCGCCAAAATGCCGATGGAGATGGCGTCAATATCGCACCATCCGGCAACCACAGCAGGGATCGAGGGCAAGCAAGTTTGAGATGTAGGATCTAGACAGATCAAAACGAGTGCGAGGGGGGGGGGGGGGACTAGTCCCAGGTGTTCCACGGCCAGGCAGAATTGGCCAAGACACATGGTTACTGTGGGATTCGCGTGTCCCCGCAAGGCGACCGAATAACAATCAGCCAAGAATAAACCCCTGATCGGACAGACCTCGTTTTTGAAATAGCCAGCGTGTCGATCCCCGGACCCATATACGCTATGGGCGAATGATTGGGCTGTTGCTTCTCTTAGCAATCACTGCCACGGGGCATCGAGCATTAGCGCTAACAGGGACAGCCATTCAAAACGTGTCGCCCAGTGGCGGTGCGTTGATGTGGGTGAAGATTAGGGGAAATTTGGTGGCACCAAGCCCGTGTCGCAGACCTTCAGCCTTGCCAGCGAGCGGGAGCTGCATGCTAATTACGTCATGCTGTTGTTTTGGGGGCCCATGGTGATGGGTTGCTGGGCTCGAAGCACAGAGAGCGACGATATGACGGAGGGTGATGGCATTATTAGCCACGCGAATGGGAACCCAGAGAGACCGACCAGATGCCTCGAGTGACCGGAACCGAATATCTGCGTGTCAGTCCTGCATAAGAAAACACATTCGTCAAGCAAACGATCATTGTAGCAGAGTCCAGTGAGGTGGATAGAACACGATGTTGCTCCATTGGGACATCCTTGAGTCTGTTCGAGATGAGGTTGAACGCCAAACAACCACTCAGGCGTTGCGGTCGTTTGTTCGCCTTGCTGTGCGACTGACCACTTACTGTGCGACTGACCAATGAGCATGTCCCACTCATTCAGAATGGACAGTAGGCTGGAAAGGGTGTCCACGACATGTACACTGCAATATCACCTATGTGTGTATCTTGCTTTCGAGGATGGACTTTGAAGCGCGTCGTCGTTCCAGGCAGCACTTTAGCTCCAGGGGCCGTGACACGGGCCACAGGAGGGACTCAAAGGGACTCGAAGCCTAACTTGGTCGCTAGCGGGAATGGCTCGGAACTACCCGCCCGACCCTCCGCGACTGACATTAGCAAATCCCCGGCCAGGGAGCCCCGAGGTGACCCGTGCATCCCGGAGCTGGGACGTCATTACAAACCAGTGGGAACAATTTTCCAACGCGCGAATCCTCAACCGGGCGTTCGAGTGCCGCACACCCAGCTCGGCCACCGACTGCACCGGCAACCCCTCTTTTTTTTTCTTGTTCTTCTTTTCCGTCCGATCGCATCTCGGAGCAACACACTCTCCCAGCAGCTGTTTAGAAAGCAAGACCCAACGACCGACGATGAATGGCATCGCCCGAAACGCGGCGCTCACGGCGCGCAAGCAGCTGTCCGCCGCGAGCTTCATCTGCCGCTCCTGTCGCCAACAGCGACAGCGCCGGCACTACTCGAGCAACATAACCCCGCCGCCGCCCGCACCGCCCTCGGCCGGCTACGCGGCCCTCCCGTCGCGGCGCCTCATCTCCGTCGCCGGCCCCGACGCCGCCAAGTTCCTGCAGGGCGTCATCACGCGCGACATCGCGTCCGAGGAGGCCCGCGCGCGGCAGACGGGCTTCTACGCCGCCTTCCTCAACGCCACCGGCCGCGTACTGCACGACGTCTTCATCTACCCGGACCTCGCCGGCCTCGGCGGCGACGTCGCGGCCGAGTCGGAGCAGGCCGGCACCAGGTTCCTGATCGAGGTCGACGCGAACGAGGCCGAGAGGCTGGCGAAGCACATCAAGCGGTATAAGCTGCGGGCCAAGCTGAACGTGCGGCTGCTCGCGACGGACGAGGCGACGGTGTGGCACGCCTGGGACGACGGCGGAAAGCCCGTCACGACGGACGCTGCGCTGCTGAGCACCGTCACCAGGGATCCGCGGACGCCGGGGTTGGGGTACCGCCTGGTGCACGGCAGGGACACGCCGCCGCTACTGGACCTCGACGCGACGACGGAGGACAGCTACACCATCAGGCGGTACATGCAGGGCGTCGCCGAGGGCCAGGACGAGATCATCAGGGAGCACGCGTTGCCGCAGGAGACCAACATGGACTACATGAACGGCATCGACTATCACAAGGGCTGCTACGTGGGGCAGGAGCTCACCATCCGGACGAAGCATCGTGGAGTAGTGCGCAAGAGGATACTGCCATGCATGATTTACGACGTGGACAGGGCCACTCCTCAGACGCTGCAGTACCGACCGGAGCAGGACGCAAATCACGGTCCTGAGGGGTTGCCCGCAGAGACGATCCCGCGGGAGACGAGCATCGGCAGGGCAGGCAAGAGGGGCAGAAGTGCCGGCAAGTGGCTCAAGGGCATCGGCAACGTCGGCCTGGGGCTCTGTCGCCTCGAGATCATGACGGATGTCGTCCTCCCCGGCGAGGCGGCCGCCTCGACCTTTGACCCGGCCGACGAGTTCCTGTTACAATGGGGCGGGGAGGATAAGAGCAACGCAGCAAAGATCAAGGCGTTCGTACCAGAGTGGCTAAGAAATGGGTTGGCATCTGCACAGTAGAAAGTCAGTGCCCATTTGATTGTAAAGATAGAGAAAAGGGGTATAATTGTATAACACAAGGCCGCCATTGCCTCCTCCATCGTCAACACCCGCCGTCGCTTCTTCGTCGCTTTTGTTTTTACCGCATCGCCCATCCTTGGCTGACGCTCCGCTCCGCCCCGCCTCGCGTCGCTCTGACGTCTGCCGCTTCTTTTATTATTTTAGCCTGCACGATTCGGGTCCAGGGCCCTGAGTGCCTCGTATTTTTGCTTCACATCTTCCTCCGTGGCCAGGCCGGCCTCGGCGGCCTTCTTGACCTCCTTGAGTCTCTGTGCTGCACTCATCCGAGCCTTGAGGTCCTCCCATTTGACAGGTGCCTTTGGGGCTGGCGCCGGTGCGGGGGCAGGGGTATCTGATGTGCGCGGCGCCGCGGCGGGATCAGCGCCGTCGGCCACGCCGCCTTTCTTCCTCGCCTTCTTCTCGGCCTTGAGTTTCTTCTTCTCGTCGAGCCGCCTCTGTAGCTCGGCCAGCTTCTCGTCGTACTCGTCGGGTTCCCTCTCCCGCTCCAAACGCTCGAGGGTTTCCTTCTTGAACCGCTCCGCCTCCTCTGCCATGCGCCGGCGTCCCTCCTCGGCAAGCCGCGCCCGTTCCCGTTCGAGTTCTCGCGCGCGCTCCTCTTCGGCCAGCTTCTGCCTCTTCCCCTCCTGCTCCGCGGCCTCGAGCTCGTCAATCAGGCGCTTGCGCTGTCCCTGGACGCGATCGCGCTCGGCCTTGCGCAGGAGGGCGGCCTTACGGGCGTTGTCGTAGGCGGCGCGGGCGGCGGCGTCGAGTAGGATATCGCGCGCGGTTTCGATGAGCTCCCATTTTTCGGGGTCGAATGCGTCCTTGAGCTTGTCCGGGTGGTAGTTGAGTGACTGTTTACGCCACGCGCGCCGGATCTCCTTCTCTTCGGTTATCGTAGTGCTGATCTGCAGCAGCTCGTAGAGGTCAACGTTGTTAGACGAGTACTCCTGCGCTTTAGCGAGGAGATCTTTGTTTGTGTCCATATCCGGCGCTCGTTAATTCCAGAATAGTGGTGTCTGGTGTTTGGTGGAAGGATGGCAGTTGGCAAGTCGAAGATTTGCACGTGGGAAGCCTGCTGTCAGAGAGAGGTGGGCGGCGGCACTGGGACTGAGGAAAAAGTGGAGACAACGCCTTTTACGCACCTAGTACCCCGTACGGAGTACGGATACTCTCTACCTCACCCACCTAACTAACATCTAAACGGCAACCACAGCATCGACAAGTTGAGCTCCTTCGTTCTTGGGTCTTGACATGAATTTCTCCTTTTGTCAATATATATCTTCCGGCTGGTGGAGGAGTGCAAGAGATAAACCTTGGCTTGCGCCGTCTTTTCCCCTGACACCATCGCCTGCTTGGCTCGATGCATCTTACGTCCATACAACCCGCACCTTGTCCCTAATCAGCCTATCGCCGTTTACCGGGCAAAGACTCGGATCTCGACACCGCAGACAGCTTCATCCATTCTGCATGGGACCGATCTCAACGGTGAACTCCATCTCTGATCTTAGAGTTTGTCTTTTTTCTCCCCGGGAACACTCATCTCTCCCTGTCTACTACATGTGCGCATGGCTTTACCAATGGGCGTTACCTAACCGCCGGCCGCCTTTCTTGGCTTCCACGAGATCGACATACTTGGCTCAGTTTGGAGAAACTGCCGCTTTCTCTCCTCCCTCACGTTGTGGCGGTCAGCAGCCTCTCATCTAACTTGAATCGCTTTGAAGGAATCGTCCGACTGACGGAAAAAAAAGAAGAAAAAAAAAGACGTGTCTCACTCTAAGCAAGCGTCAGCCCATCCAAGTTGTATGAGCCCTCTTATTCAAGCTCTGAAGTCATACTTTCACAAGGGCTATATTCGCCGGATCGGCGGGTTCTTGCCAAGCATCTGGCTTTCAGCGGTCGACCTCGACGCTCTCAACTATCTCGCCGCCCTTTGTAGCTCCAATCGAAGCAAGCATGCCAGGTCTACCAACGTACTGACTGAGCGCCTCTTCATCGGTATACTTGGAAGGATATTCGGTTGATATCCCGTGCATACCGACATCAACAGGTGCTCACTTACGTCTCTCACCGCGAACCCTTCTGGCTCGCCGTCATTGTCCTTGAAACGACGGTGACTTCATACTTCAACGTGCCTGGCTCGTTGGCTTTCGAGTACCTATCATAGCGCGCTCCAAGTGCTCGAAAAGCTGGCTCCAGGCCTCTCTTAGCGTGACGCGTCTCGAAGTGAGACAAGGATTAAAGCTGACACGCCGGCTTTGGAAGGCGTCAGAAACAACCAGGCGTACTCACCTCATCTGCTTTCCCCGGTTTAGATGTGATGACGGCCGTTGGGGCGATACGATCAGGCACAACCCTTTGGCCCGGGCCTCGGGGTGGGTCCATGAGATCAAGCAAGTGTTTGACTAGATGGTGAGGCAAGCCCGCCCAGATGGTAGCCGCTACTGATGAAGTGGGTTGGGGAGAACTCAAAGTGACCCGATAAAAACTTTACCGGACGCGATGGTCGAGAGATGAGGCGGTCCGTCTTTGCATTTGGGGCTGTCTGAACCACTGGGTCATGAAGTCAAAGACTTCCGCGGCCGCTAGAACATCGGGGAGGAGGAGGACTCCGAATGAAGGCCGGAAAGAGTTAGCACGGCCGATCAAATCGGCGACCGGCAAGGACTACGACATTTCCGGACGGATGCCACATGGGCCAGTGAGACATCGGCGACTCAGTCGGGGAGGAGGTTCTGCCCTTGTTGCCCTTACCATCCTAGCCTACCTACCGTGTACTCCGTCCCCCGTGCCGGCTCTGTGGCTTGTGGTTGCCTGTAGGCTCTTGTTGTGTAACGAGGCGTCTTGCAGCATCGCCGGAGTTGGTATAATCGCAAAGGAGGCCATCCCCAATCAACACAGGCGCCGTAGCCGGCGGACTCATGTCCTTCCACGATGGTCGGGCAAAATCCCGCCAGTCATAGGAAGCCGTCCACACGCATGGTCTTCCCCTTCACCGCCCCGAGCCTGGAACAGCCTGTGGCATCAGGACGCCTCATCAGGTGTTTTCTCTCCATCGGTCGTCTGCCCAGCCGGCTGGCTTGATTGTACCTTCCCATCTCGGTGAGCTCGCTTACCAGCGCCACAGTCCGTCATCTTCGGATGCCAACCCAAACCATACCCTCGGTAGCGTGGGAATTGCCTGATGTAATACCGGTATTCGCGACGACAGCACCGGCCATGGTGCGTCGAACATGATCCCAGCTGTCTGGTTCCGACGGATGGACCATTCCCCCTTGGACGTTTTGTTTCACGGCAAGCGTCACCAGGAACATTTGCCATGTCTCCTTCCGGCCATCTCGCATCGCCGCCAACACCCAAGGTCAGGGGTGCGCATCTTGCTAGCTCCACCGCCACTATTTTCTCCAGGCCTTTTCCTGATCTCCTACTTTTTATATAACCCGTTGCTCGTTCCTCGCCAATCCCGAGGTTCTCGTTTCTTTAGAAAAACAGACAAACAAAAAAAAGACCACCCAGTTTCGAGGGTGGATATTACACAAGCACACACACTCACATGTCCATCCAGCTACCGGCCGCGGATAAATCAACTCGCGAACCGGACGCCGTCGATCTCAGCACTCGTCATCCAACTTTGGCCTCGTGGAATCGTGGCAACCCTAGACATTGAACCGCCATGTCGCCCACTCAAGTTATGACCAGGCCCTGCCGCTCGCCGTTCCAGGTAGACGGAGCATCAGATACGTACTTTATTAGACACGCCGGTGCAGGTCAGCATCACCCAAACGTCAACCGACTCCTTTCATAGTCTAACATCTTTCCAGCCGCTCTCGTCTCCTCCCCGGCCGAGCCCCTACCGACCAAGGAGGAACTCCTCGAGCTTTGCGACTCGGTGCGAACCTCCCTTCGCCAGGAGAAGAGCCTTGGGCCTTGCGCAGACAGAATCCAAGGACTTCTGGAGAGAGCTTTGAAGGAGGAGCTTCGACACACTCCCTTACTCGATTTCGAGACACTTCAATACACTCGTCTGGACAAGCTCCTCGCCGACATGGTTGATCCTGCCAACCGCCCATCCCCGCTACCCCTCCGCTTCCGTGCCGATATGGCTGTAGCTGAGAGCCTCCAAAAGACGTGGAGGGCCCGGTTCCGCGAGCCATACTTCGCCCTTGATCAGGTGCGCCAGCGCAACTTGCGCACCGGTGGTGAGATGCGCGACATTCACTTCACCACTGCCGGCGTCGATCCCCTCGAATCCTGGACCGTTCACGACAGCTCTCGCGATCCCATCTCCGAGCTTGAAGGAAATCAGCAGTTTGAGCCTGGCCAGTGAGTCGCATAATTCTTCTTAGATATCGATGGCATCAGTGCTAACCCTCAACAGCTGGTGGTTGAACCTGGCCTGCGCCTACCGTGACGGCATTCTCGGCACTGCTGTCGAGAAACCCACCAAGGGGAAATATGGAGTCACTGCCCTTCCACTCTTGACCGGCTGTGAGGAGCACGTTCGTGGCAACCTCTATCGATACGTCCGTGAGGGCTGCCTCTCTGACATGCACGTCTCTCTCCTCACCAAAGTCGGCACCCGGATTCGCATCCTCAGGGGCTACCGCCTCAAGAGTACACTGGCTCCCAAGGCTGGCGTGCGCTATGACGGACTGTAAGCAACAATTCGTTCCCATTCCATGCGGTTCTTACTGACAAAGCTCTAGTTACATCATCCGCCAATACGGCAACAAGCTGGATGCCAATACGGACAAATATCGCCTTGAGCTCCTGCTGGAACACGTCGGCGGCCAGAAGAGTCTCAAGCAGGTGCAGCAAGTGCCTCGGCCATCGCAGATGGATGACTGGGAGGCGTTTAAGAAGCTCGAGGCCGAGATGATCCGTCGGTGCAAGGGCGATGACGGCCTGCTGGACTTGAAGATCCGCAAGGAGGAGGAGCGCGTCGACCGCGAGCACTGGAGGAGGTCGAGAGATTTCCGGGCTTCGTTGAGCCCGGAGGCCTGCGCGGGACCGGGGTCGATTGTGCCTGCCCGATGAACGAAAAAACGATTGGAGCCTACCGACAGCATGGGAGCGATGCAGCGCGGTGCGTTTTGGAGGGCTTCCCGAGATACCCTGTATTACCTAACTACTGGACCTGTCTGTATTAACACCTCACGAATAATGATGACGAGTTACGACTCATACAAACACTCCCAGGCAAACCCTATCTTATGATTCTTCGAAACCACTCTGATATCGAAGTATCCATCTTCTTCTGTCTGACAAGCTCCGGGGCTCGACCCGGGGGGCTTCCCCCATTCTCCAGGCAACCCCCTCGTCGACAGTCGACAAGCTGTTTCTTTTGGGAGCGCTGGTTTTCAGCTCAGTCCCGAAGACGCAAGGCAGTCGGGCTCAGGGGGTGTTTATATATACCTTGCCCCTGTTGTGGTTTCGAGATCCGCTGTGACGGCAACAGCCTAGCTAGCCACTTTGAACATTCTTGTCTATTGGGTATTACTTTTTTTGTCTATCGCATCGAAACTGATCAAACCGTGACTGCGCCGGGATCAAGTTTCCTCAACAACACATTTGTAGCAACACTGTGCAGGCCCCCCAACCCCCGGTCAAGTGTTGAGCTTCTGCTTAGTTCTCTTCCTCTTGCCGCCAACCTCCCTCCCCTCCTCGAGCTCCAACAGCGCCTCCCTCTTCTTCTCGCTGACAAGCTTGAGCGAGTCGCGCAGCACGCGTGTCTCGAGGTTGACGCCCTCCTCATGCCACGCCTCCATCTGCCGTCCCACGCGGGCCTCGATCGCCAGCACCAGCTCGACATCCCTCTGGCCCACAAACGTCACGGCCTCTCCCTTGCGTCCCGCACGGGCCGTACGACCAACCCTGTGAATGTAGTCGTCCGGGTTGCGCGGGATGTCGTAGTTGACAACGACCGCGACCTCGGGGATGTCGAGACCACGCGACGCGACATCGGTGGCGACCAGGATCCGCGCCGCCGCCGCGCGGAAGCGGCCCAGATTGTCCACTCGCTGGCGCTGCGGCAGGCCCGAGTGCAGCGAGGTGACGCGGTGGTCGAGCAGGCGGAGCAGGTGGTGGAGGTAGTCGGCCGTCGAGGTGCGGTTACAGAAGATGATGACGGACTTTTCGGCGTTGCCGTCGGTAAGGAGGAAGGTGTGGAGATAGTGCTCGCGGTGAGTGACGGGGACCTGAAGGTGCATCTGAGAGAGGGTGGCGGGGATGGCGAGGGACTGGGTGTCGACCTCGCAGACAAAGACGGGCTGCTTGCCGGGTTTGAGCGGCATGTCTTTGAGGGCGCGGACCTCGGGGGTGATTGTGGCGGTGAACAGGAGCGTCTGTCGCTGCGACGAGGGCGGCAGCACGGAGAGGCACTCTTCGACGTCGGGGATCATGCTGCCGGGCCCCGTGGCGTCGAGGAGGCGGTCGGCCTCGTCGAGCACGACGTACTTTACGCGCCGCAGCCCGCAGACAGTGTCCTCTCCCGAGGTGCGGATGTGGTCGGCGAGACGGCCGGGCGTGGCAATGACGACATGGGGGCGCTGCGCAAGGGCGATGGCCTGCGGGCGCATGTCGGAGCCGCCAGTGACAAGGATGGCCTTGAGGCTTTGCGGGGAGGAGATGGCCTTGAACTGTTCAAAGATCTGCAGGGCGAGCTCGCGGGTGGGCGTCAGAACAAGGGCAAAGATGGCGGTCGGGTCCTCGGCCCATTTTTGGAGGATAGGCACGGCGAAGGCGACCGTTTTACCGGAACCCGTCCGGCTGCCGCCGATGCAATCCCTCCCCTTCAAGATCTCGGGTATGCAACCCTTCTGGATGCCTGTCGGTCGCTTGATGGCCATGTTGGCCAGCGACTGCACGAGCCATGGCCGTACGTTGATGGCGGAGAAGGTGGTATTGGGATCTGTCGGCGCGGAGATTGCGTTCTGCGACGGCGTGGGACGGGTAGTCTGTGGTGCTTGTTCGGCGGCGGCGCGCTTGATTCTTGACGGGGCCTTGATGGTTGAGACGACGGCCTTGAGCTCCCCCTCGTCATCGTCGTCATCATCGAGGCCCTCGAGGTCTGAATTGGCAGGGAGATCGGTCCTCCGCCGCTTGCGCGAAGCGGGACTGTCGAGATAGTCGGATTCGGACTCGGAGTCGGAAGAGTTGGCGGAGGACGACGACGCCGGGTCCTCGTCGGCAGCGGCGGCGGGACCCAGGCGTCTGGGGGCTGCGGAGGACGGCATTGAGGGTGATCAATCACAAGGCGAGGTGTGCGTGTCCCTTGGGAGTGCAGTCGATCAAGGCACCTGAGACAGTAAGTAACAAGTCTTCTCGGTTCAAACTTGATGGTGAGCGGGCGGATACCGGCTGCACCAGCGTATGAGAATTTTCGGTTAAGGGTCCTTCAAAAAATTTGGGATGCAGAAAAAAAAAAAAAAAAAAAGCTCCGGCGGATTGAGAATGTTTGTCGGCGGCCAGGATTGGGCGGGCATGCGGGGGTGGTGCAGGGGTCTCTAGCGGGGTGGGGGGGTTAGCAATCCAATTCGATTGGAGGTGCTCAAGTGCCAAGGATGCCGCATGGAATGAATAGGTAGACGCGCGCTTGGGGAAACGAAGCTGGTCAGGAGTTAGATAGTGTACATGACGTGGTGGTAGTAATGGCAGCACTTGTATTCGTAGTACCTACCTACATGGCAATTAGTCGACGGGGAGCGAGCCAGTCAGACTGAAGCTGCTGTTGGAAGGCAAACCGTTCCATTGTTCTTTCTGAGGCGAGGTGGTGGTGCATGGCTCAAACTCACTGCCATATTTTTTCGTTGGTTGTTTGTTACGGCAATGCCTTGGCTCCAATGCCGCACACCTGTGCGTTAGTTCAGGGGGGGGAGGGCGACGGTAGCTGTGGCTCAACTTTGCCGAGATAAGCATCTTGACCCGGTCTGGTTACGGTTGGAGACGGTAAGACCGCGCGGGTTAGCTTGGAGCTGAAAAATACAGGTAGAGGAATACTACTTGGTTGAAAACTGCCAGGGCTGATGGTTGATGACAACATAGCGTTGCTTCCCGCACCCAATCATGGGGCCAGCCTGAATGCAGTTCCGCCCTATGCCCTTGGCAAATTCCGGGTGCCTGTCCCCTGACGTGTGCGCGCTTACGCCTAGATTGCATGAGCCACAGACGTGGCAAGCACATCTTGGTTTTGGGGGGCTGCTCGGCGTTGTATCTCAGTCTGAATGTAAGGTAAGCTGGGTGTTTCCGTGGCCTTGTGTTGGCCTGTGATGATGATGGAGGAGATGGTTCGGAGCTAAGACGCATTGCGAATGCCGGTCGCTGACGCTCACGGGTGTCCAACTAACAGTACGCCCGCACATCAAAGGATCGGTTTTGTTTCCTTGCATCTTCCGTCTGACATGCTAGCATGAGTCGACTTTGCAGATGAGACCCGACGACTCGGGCTCGACAAGACGAAGAAGGGCTGCAGCAGTCTCAGCAGAAGCAACGCCGTAAGGCCTGCCCCTACCTCTCGGTTTCCGTTCCTCGCTTTGCCTCATTCCGAGCAGGGCGAACCGGCCATTGGCATTTATCCGACCAGAGAAGACAGACACAACAACGGTGCACCACGTAGGCGTTTTGGGCCAGGGCCATGAAAAACCGGGCCTTCGTCCGATCAGGGTCCAGCCCATGTCCGATGTAGCTGTGCGAACAATGCGGTGAAGGATGAATGCGTCGCCCTCGGACACAATAGAGATACGGCAGCTTGCATCAGGATATTGAAGAGGGAAAGGAAGAGTAAAAGAAGAAGGCATTCTACGGGGTTGGACCCCAAGAAGCCCGCTAGCGTTGTCCACCCGTCGCCTCGGGGGCTAGCCTGTTCGTGCCGCATCGCCAGCGGAGGAGAAGAAGGGCTGGAGGGACTGCAACCACTATCCTCGCAACCGACGTCTCCGCAATCAGCTGATGGGCTTGTTCCAAGTGGCTTGTCATACCGATATCGTCGGTAGGTACGGATACATTGTGGACGGAGCCGCCTCCAACAGCATCCATCCACCGAAAAGAGCTCCTCCGTGGGACGCCCCGTTTTCCTTTTCTCTCTGCTTGGTCGGCCTGTCCTTATGTGTTGCCGCTTCCGGGAAAGCCCTATTGTCCAGTCTAGACTCTGACACACCTCTCTCGGGACATGTTGGGAACTGGGCAGATAGACATTGGTTGCCACCAGTCCGCATTAAGTTATTATGTGATCCCGCAGCCGTGTGTGTGTGTGTGTGTGTGTGTGTGTGTGAGAGAGAGAGAGAGAGAGAGAGAGAGAGAGAGAGAGAGCAAATGTGACGAGTGTGATGTGATTGCCGGCTCGCTGTCGGCGCCAGCTGTTGGCTCACGACCGTAACGAGTAAATTGTCAAGGAGCGGGCGAGGAAGACGATAAGCATAAGCGACAACCAATACGGTGGAGACTGGCATCAGCAGTACTTAACGTCTGACAGAATTTTCGGTTATCAAACGTGCACTCCGTTCATTCCAATGCCGATGCCTCGTCTTCCTCCATCCGAAGCCCTTGGATCGAAAGAGCCAAGTTGCATCGGGGACGTCTCCCAGGAGGTGTGTGAATTAAGAGACCAGGGAGTGATGCTTGATGCTCGGCTTAATTAACAGGACAGGAGGCCAGCAGCTTTGCAAGCAGCATTTGCAGGGCAGGGCATCGAATGGCAGCCCAAGACACAGACGACACACCACCACTGACGGTAACGGGGCCCCTGCTCGTGCCCCATGCTCCCATGTCTCTGGACGGCTCGTTCTCCTGCCGGCTGCATGTGATTGGTCCAGCATGGCACCATTGTATGTGTGTGTATTTGCCGGTGAGGGACTGGCAGAGTTGTTGGTGTGCTTCGTCCGAAACGGAGCTCACTCATCGCACCGTTGTGCCTGAGAGACTGACTTTTTCAACGTTGGGGCATGGGGGGTTGCCTGTGTCAGTGTCAGTGTCAGTGTCAGTGTCAGTGTCAGTGTCAGTGTCGACGTCGGCGTCGGCACCGGTGTTGGTGTCAGTATGGGTGCCGCTTGTGGTGGTAAGGCAGTTTGTCTTGGGGAGAACACGCGTCCTCATCGATGACTGCCCCCCCGGACTCGGCCGGAGCGGAACGGCAGCATTTACCTCGTTGCCTCGTTTTCGTACGTCTCCATCATCGGGTATTGTGTCTTCTCCTCACAAGCAGAAGTTGTGCCAATACACCCCCCATCATATGCGTATTTTGTACATCGTACACAGAACGGCATCTGGCGATAATGTTGACCGACTCTGGCATATCCCTTCTCATCCTCGTTGGGATTCAGTCCAGCCTAGAGTTCGGAGTCCTGGCCAGGGATCGGTTGGTCGTGTGCTTGAAAATACCAAAATCGGAAGGCCAACCATAACAAACCTCAGACGACGTAAGGGACTGGGTGATGTGGCACGTTTTTCTGCCAAAAAAGACAAGCTTCTGAAAGGTAAAGAGACGACCGAGCGTATTTCTTGGTCCCGTCGGCGATTGATCTCCATTGACTTTTCGGTTATTTGCTTGTCCAGTTTGTCAAAGGTGAAGTGAAGCATAGCGATAGTACCTAGGTAGGTAGATAATGGTTTTTTTTTTTTTTTTTCTCCTTCTTTTTTTCTTGGGTACTATCGAGGGATCCGAAAGGTGCAGGCGAATGAGGGATCCCCAGGGCAATGAGGTTGCTGGATGTACCCTTCCTCCCGCCTACTCCTGCCACATCCTGCGACAGCTGGGAGAGGTACCTTGGCCTGACGCACGTCTGAGGTAGGTAGGTAGATACAGGTACCTTAGTACCTTAGTGCATCAACCAGGCCCCTGTTTTCCATTGGAACTTGGCCTTGGAATTAGCGCCCAAGCTCGTCCCCCGTCCCGCCGACTCCCCGCCTTTTTTCGCCCACTCGTATCCCACCTGAGCACCTCCTCCCTCTCAAAAGGAACAAGGTCCTTTGGGCTCGCCAGTCGCCACTACTCTCTGAACTCGCGTTGCTGGTCCCCTCTTCGGCCTGGCCAACTTCGATACCGTACCGTTCACACCACGACACAGGAGAGACATCAAGCACGCAGTAGAGAACCCCCTCCCTTGCACCCATCCACACCCGGCCCTGACACAGATCAACAACTGCTCGACCGGGAACGCGTACCACAACCGCCTCGCTCGGAACGTCACATCCCACCCAAAACCGCCCACCAACCCCGATAGCGACCTCCTGACTCCTGCGGGGAAAGCTGCACTTCAACGGCCTTTTCCTTTCTTATCTCTCGCTTTCGCCCGTCCTGATCTGTCCAAGGAAACGCTTCGACGTCCCATCTCAACCGTTCCAACGTACTTTTACTCTGAACCATAAGCGCCGAACTTTCGAAACCCATCCCGCCGTCCTTCTCCAATTCACTACGTCAGCACCTACCTCCTTCGCACAGAACGAATCTCCTATCGCGCTAGTTGTTTGCTGTTTTCCGCCTGTGCTCTGTGCAGCAGCCGTCGCATCTCGACCTACGTCGTTAGGCAGCTTGGCTTCGGCCCTTTTGCGACCTTGTGGGATCCTCTTCTTCATCCCACTCTCTCCAGCTTGAACTGTATCGCTTTGGTCCGGCCAACTTGCTGTCATGGCCGACCAGAACGCTTCCCAGCCTCAGATGATGGAGCCTCCTCAGCAGGTAAGCATGCCTGTGTGATGCATCTTCCCATAACCCGTCATCGTGAGCTTCACTTACCTCTTTCTCCTACAGCCGCCACCGAGCGTCCCTTCTACCGCCATGTCCACGCCTGGTTCTGTTCCCATGTTGAACTCCCCAGTACCCCTGCTCCGCCCCGCCATTCCTGGTGGCAGATCCGGCGGCGCCGCCCGAACACCCAGACTTGGTCTCGCGATTCCTCCTTCACCAAATGCGAAGCCGGTCGGCGGGATGGCGCCCCAGCCTATAAACTCGCGACCTCCCCTCCCAACCCTGCACCTGGCCACTCCGATGGGCAGCCAAACAACGCCCTACGAGCAACCCCCAAGACATATAGGCGTGGGACAGTCGGCAAGCGGTGGCAGCGAAAGCAGCGCGGCTCATTCGAGATCGGGAAGCTTTGGTCCTCTGGACGGGCGAGCTAGCAACCCCACATCAGCTGGCTCTCAATACTCGGCGTTGTCGTTTGCTTCCCAATATGGCTTCCCAGCGAGGCCCCAGGGAACCCCAGACCCATCGTCCGCTGTCGGGTCTATTTACTCTGAGCGTAGCGAAGGCGGAGTTGGCATGGAGCGAGACAACAGCATGCAAGGGCTTGAGGCTTTCGATAAGCTGTCATTGGAGCGGGGCAGAACCCTGGATGTGGAGGAGCTTGACTCTGACGGGTGGAGGGTTGCGAGCATGGAAAACCGGATCGAAGAGCTCGGCAGCCTCGGCGAAGGTGCCGGTGGAGCCGTCACCAAGGCCAAGTTGAAGGGTGGAAAGACCACCTTCGCCCTCAAGGTGCTTATCGCTCACCTACACCGTTGATAACCAAGACTAACTAACAAAACCAGGTCATCACCACAAACCCCGATCCCGACGTCAAGAAGCAGATTGTGCGTGAACTAGGATTCAACAAGGAGTGTGCCTCAGAACACATCTGCCGTTACTATGGCGCCTTTGAGGACTCGACGACGGGCACTATCTCCATCGCGATGGAATTTTGCGAGGGGGGTTCCCTGGACAGCATCTACAAAGAGGTCAAGAAGCTTGGCGGCCGTACGGGCGAGAAGGTCCTCGGCAAGATCTCGGAGGGCGTTCTTCGCGGATTGACGTACCTGCACGGCATGCGCATCATTCATCGAGATATCAAGCCGTCCAACATTCTGCTTTGCAGGAATGGAGACGTGAAGCTTTGTGACTTTGGTGTTTCCGGAGACTTTGGCACCAAGGGAGAAGCAAACACCTTTATCGGCACCAGCTACTACATGGCCCCTGAGCGCATTACCGGTCAATCCTACACCATCACTTCCGACGTCTGGTCTACGGGCGTCACTCTGCTGGAGGTAGCGCAACATCGCTTTCCCTTCCCTGCCGATGGCACCGAAATGCAACCACGGGCCGGGCTGATCGATCTCCTCACCTACATTGTGCGGCAACCGATACCGAAGCTCAAGGATGAGCCTGATGCCAACATCTTCTGGAGTGATAACTTTAAATATTTTATCGAGTGCTGGTAAGTGGCTCCCTTTGCAAGGTGCGTGGAGGCTCTCACTGACAAACTGGAAGCCTCGAGAAGGAGCCTACTCGAAGAGCAAGCCCCTGGAGAATGCTCGAGCATCCTTGGATGGTCGAGATGCGGTCGAAGCGTGTCAACATGGCGAAATACCTGGCCCAGGTTTGGGGCTGGGACACCAAGTAACGGAAGCCAGGTTACGACAATGCCATTGCGAGGCAGCCGATCATGACATTGTATCGCACAGCACCAATTTGGTGGATGATCGGACATAGAAAGGGAGAAGAAGCGCATTGCGTCCTTTTCTTGTGGAGGAACCAGCCGCCATGAAAGCGATGGGATTTTTAGAGTGAAAGCGTAAAAACTCGACAGCTCAAACGAAGAGCAATGTTCAGCCCAAGCCAGCAGCAAAGCGACCAAGCGGAACAAGGCAATGTTTTACGAATTAAGAGGATAGGCACACTTGGCGCGGGATTGCCAACGTCACCCTTTGGGGGAGGTGATTGGATTCTCTTCCTGGAAACGGGTAGCAAGTAGCAGCAGACCTGGGCCGGGGCAAGCGAGCGGCGGTCGACACGAGTCGAACAGATTGTTGGCATAACTAGCGGTTCGAGCCATTGCTTGTTGAGGTTTGCAGCCATTCAAAACGAAAAAAAGTCTACCAAATTCATGGGTTTTCTTTGGGTACTGGGTTTCAGGGGAGGCATTGTACATATTTTCTCTTTCGGCGGTGCTCTCTAAACAGAGGGGGGGTATCTAGTCTTCACCATTTACATGCCAAGTAGATCTCATAAACGTCCGCCAAGGGTCGCTTCCTTACTTGCTCCTTTTGTGTGAAACCTTGGGAGAAAGAACAAGAAAGAGAACGAAAAAAAAAAGAAATGCCCAATCATGCCTCCGCTGCCACCGGCTCGGCATCGGAGGGCTTCGTGGCTTCGGCACCCTCGGTGGCAGCGGGTCCAGCGGCGACCTCGGACTCGTCGACGCCCATCAACTCCCGCAGCGCGACGGTCGCGTAGGCGCTCTTGGGGAGCTGGAACCTCACCACGACGGCCGTCTTGGTAAGCCCAGCGGCCGGTTTCGAGTCGGCAACCGCAGCTCCTTTCTCCGCCTCCGCTGCTGCCTCCTCGGGCTTCGTCTCCTCAGCGGCCGGCAGCGCCTCCTCCATCATCTCGTCGCCGTTGGCCCCCTCCGTCTCCGTCACCGGCGCCGCCTCGGTCTTGGCCTTCTTACCCTCGCCGTCCACCGCCTCAGCCTCCTCGCGGCCACGCTTCCGCCCCGCGCCGCCGTTCTTCGCGGCGCGGATACGGTCCATGTCGGTGGGATGCATCTGCTCGTTGTCGTCCTCGTACGCGCGCACCTCGAACCCGGGCTCGGCGAGGAAGCGCACAACGAACTTGCGGTAGTCGCCGCGGAGGCTGAACTCGCGGTGGCGGCGGATCATCTTGGTCGGGTCGAGGCCGCCGTTGTCACGCATGAAGGCCGTGTAGAACTCGCCGACGGCGTTGGCAGGGTAGACGACGGCGTGGCCGGGCGAGGGGAGGACGACGTCGTGGATCGTGTACTTGCCCGAGGCAGCCTCCTCGGCGGTCAGGGGGCGGGCGTCGGTGAACTCGGCGTCGTCGTTGTCGTCGTGGCCCGCCTCGGCGTTGTCCGTCTGCGACTTCGGCTCGTCGACGAGGACGAGGTCGCCCTCGACGACCTTCTCGCCATACAGCCGCCAGCGGTGGCTCGCAGCGTGATTCCAGACGTAGGACTGGTAGGCATGCAGGTACATGCTGCGCAGGCCGCGGGTGATGCTCGTCAAGGCCCCGATGAAGTCCCGGCGGGAGGGGCCGCTCGACCTGCCGAGGTGGCGGATAAGGCTCGACTCGGCGGAGAAGCGGCGCGGCAGGTGCTGGAGGGCGTCGTCCGCGGACCCGCCCTCCCGGAAGAGCATGCACGCGCGGTGGCGGCTGAAGTCGTCTCGCGCGTGCGCCTGCTCGGGGACCTCGCCCCCAGCGGCGCGCTTGGCGATGACCTCGTCGTAGGCGAGGATGGCATTGACGGCGCCCTCAAAGTCCTCCTGCAGGATCAGGCGGCCGACCTCGTGCGTTCCGACGGCATGCGTGCCGAAGCGCTGGTGGCCAAAGTAGTTGATCCAGCCGAGGCTGTGCATGCTCGCCATGGCGGCCTCGACCGAGGCGTGGATCCGGGCGTGGCGGTCCGCGGGGGACAAGTCGGGGGCGCCGGCGACGAGGCAGTCCTTGAGGGCGATGACGAACTCGTTGCCGGCGTGGGCGCCGAGGTGGATCGGGGTCGGCGCGTAGAGGTAGTCGCCGACAGTGACGCCGTTGAGGCGCGCGCGGACGAGAGCGTCGGCGCGCTGGCCGCGGATGGAGCACCGCTGGGTGGTGGCTGCACGGCGGTCCTTGGTACCCGCGGTGCCAATGGCCTGGGGCTTGATGCGCAGCGCCTTGGAGATCTGGTGCAGAGCGTCCATGGTGTCGCGGTTCTCCTTGTACAGCGTGAAGTGGAGGTACTCTCCTTGACCGGGGGCGTGCGCCTTGGGCTTCTTCTGTTTGTTGTTGTTGTTGTTGTCGCGACCGCCACGCATGCCCTTCCCTTTGCCGCGAGGGGGGACGACCCGGGCAACGATGGCGCCTGTCGGGTCGGTAGTCGTATCGATTGTCGAGTTGAAGATGCGGCGGACGCTCTGGTGGAGTTGAGAGCGCTTGTCCTTGTCGTCTGTAACGGGGGAGGTCGCGGGCTCGGTCTTGGCGTTCTTGTCGACGGATACTGCCTGGTACATGGCCAGCAGTTGGTTCGCGAAGTCTTCGTTTGTGAGGGACGCGATTACGGCCAAATCTTCGGCTGGGATCTCGGGCACTGCAGGCTTCTCGGCGGCGGCGGCGGCGTCATCTTCGGTTTGTGTCACATCTCCCTTCTGGACTTCTTCCTTTTCCTTCTTCTCCTCCTCGACTACAGGAGGGGCAGGAGGGGCGGGCTCCTTAGGGGGCAGGGGGAGACGAGTCTCTTTCAGATGAAGCACAGAGCCATCTTTGTTGATCTCGTAGACTTGAAAGTCGGTATATCTGAGGGATTCTATCAACGTGGATATCCAACTGAATCAATGCCAGGGGTGGCTTACCTCTTGCGCATATCTCCAGTCCAAGCTGTCATGCTCGGCGCGATGCGCTCAGTGATACCGAGGGACACATCAAGGCGCGTGCCATTGGAGCGGCGGACCTCAGCAGTCATTGTGTAGTAGAGTGAGATTATATGGATTCCGTTACGGATTTCACTCTATTTGAGAAGGTTGCATGCCAAGTAAATTGATAAAATTGGTCGTGTTGGTTGAGACGGGTTATGAAGGTACATCGCGGGGCCAGCAGCCATATTTTCCGCTACTGCCGGCAGAAACCTGGCGTGGAACGTGGAAGGGGTAGGCGGTATCATCCAGGCCCACCGTTTCCATCTTAAAAAAGAAAGCGGTCAGGACTTCTCACTTCACTCAGTACTGCGTATTTTCATGTGAGCTTCTGAGCCTTCTCATTGCAATGAGATTCGTCCATGACTGATTCCAATTCCACATTTTGCCATACTTGGTTGCTCAATCCACCTTCAAATTCAAAATGTTGATCGCGTTGCCGCCCATGATGGCCTTCGCCTGGTCACTCCCCTCACCCACCGCCGCAGCCACAGCATCGGCGTTCATGCTCACGCTCTCCCACTCACCCTGCTCGTCGGTAGTCAGCGGCGGGAAGAAGGGGTGGTCTGTGCCGAACATGAGTCTGTCCGCTCCACTCGCCTCGATGGCCGCTTTCAACCCGACTTCAGAGTAGATGACAGCGTCGAGGTAGATCTGCTCCTTGAGCACATCCCACACCGTCCTGCGTTCCTTGGTGACCTTACCCTCGCGCACCCACTGCCCGTCGTGCATGACGCAGCTCTCGATGCGTCCGGCGAGGAAGGGCAGCGTACCGCCACTGTGCGCCAGGAGCATGCGCAGCTGGGGCACTGCGTCGAAGACGCCGGCCAAGTACATGCGCGCAACGGCGATGGTGGTCTCCATTGGGAAACCCAAGGCTAGAGGTAGCACGTGGCCGTACTCGTTGCTCGCTCTGGGGCCCCAGACGTCGTTGGGCAACCCGTAATGCGGGTGCAGGAAGATGGTCAGGTGAGCAGCGGCTACGGCCTTGAAGATGGGCAGCAGGTTCGGGTCGTCGAGGCCCTTGCCCAGTCCCGAAGTGCCGAGGATGATGCCGCGACAGTACTTGAGGCCCTTGACGTGGTCAATGGCGGCGAGAACAGTCTCGAGCGGCGCAGTCAAGGGCAGTGTGGCGAAGAAGAAGAGGCGGCCCGGGTGTGTGGCGCACATGGCATCAAACTCGTCGTTGACGCCCTTGGCCATGGCTCCCGACTCGGAGCCGTCGATGAAGTCGAGCCAGGGGTTCGCCAGGGAGACGACCGAGATGTCGATCTTGTGCGTGTCCATGAAGTGCACCTTCTGGTCGAGGGAGGCGTAATGCGAAGTCAGCGGCCGGCCGGGAGGCTTCGCCGAGGGGTCCTTGGTGGCTTCATCGAGAGCTTGCTCCTCCGAGGCGAGGAGGATGAGGCGCGGGTCCGGTGTTTGCGGGAAGCTGCGCACGACGGGAATGGTGGTTCGAGATTCGAGAATCTTGATGTATGATGGAGGGTACATGTGGGTGTGGATGTCCACCACTTTCATGGGCGTCGTCGATGAGGCCATTTTGTCTTTCGTCCGTGTTTTGACGATGCCGAAGCCACCAGGATGTGTGCTAGTTGTTTGCGAGAGTTTGTTTCAACAACGACGCTATATATGCACGAGAGTGATTCTGAGGCTCAATGGCGAGTCGTGCCGCTTATTTACGATTGCATGACCTGGGAGGTAGCGTAGGGCAACAGAAACCGGCCTTTCGTCCTCCTGGTGTGCGAGTACCAACCAGTTGCCCATCGTGCTACGTCTATCCAGGAAGGTGTCGAGGTCGCCTTGACCCCTCCCTCACGTCGCCCACAATACGCTCCTCTTCTGAACCCCACACACGGGGGCGTCTCCTACTGCACCGCAGTGGCTGCAGCCCTAGCCTCTATTTCCGACTATCTTACCCCGCCGTTATCTCAACTTCTTGTCCCTAATCGCTGGACTCTTATCATGGTCTCTTCCCCTCCCCCCTTTCCGCGGGGCAACGCCGCCTTTTCTTTCTTCTTACGGGTATGTATAACGTGTAGGAGGTCTCCGGCCTCTCCTCTCGTTCGACCACGGGCCTAGCCGGCCTTGTTGCCCACCCCCCCGAACCTTCAAGGGTGTATCTGGTCCTTTATCGTCCGAATGGCCGGGATAGCAAGGGAGCATTGGGCCGGGCCGGATCACTTAGATGACGCCGATGGTTGGCTGGTATGATACGAAGTTAATGCTCGGCCTGTGGTTGGCCGACGCGCTATGGTCGCAGGTGATACTCAAGAACTAGCCAGACATAAAAATCCTCGGCTCCCATCGCACACAGGACTAGTCATGAACCTTACTTATCAATCACGACTCTTGATTAATGCCCTCGCACCTGATCCAAGTGATGCTCGTTTGATGCGTTTGGCCTAGAATCCCCACAACGTTTTCAGTCTCAAGAGAAACCATATTGAAACCACCATGGCGGCCACAGCAGTAGACAAGGAGGGTCTCTTCATTCCCGTGAGTGATACACATCTGCAATAGCTCACGTGCCGCTTCTCACCCAACCCCAGCTCATCAACTTCTCCGACTTCCTGAACGGTGACGACGCCACCCGCACCGCGACGGCCAAGCAGATTCTCAGCGGCTTCCAGAACGCCGGCTTCATCTACCTCCAGAACGTGCCCATCAGTGAGGAACTCCGCGCTGCCACCTTCGCCAAATCGGCCGATTTCTTCGCCCAGGATGACGAGGCAAAGCTCGCCCTGGGCTGGACCACCCCCGAGGCGAACCGCGGGTACTCGGCGCCCGGTCGCGAGAAGGTCAGCACCCTCAAGACCAACGCCGAGATCGAAAAGGTGCGTGCGGGGAACCCCGACCTGAAGGAGAGCTACGAGATCGGCCGCGAGGGCGAGCCCGATCACCCGAACCAGTGGCCCACCGAGAAGGAGGGCACGCGCGTCGCCGGGTTCAAGTCGCAGATGCTGGAGTTTCATGACCGGTGCAAGGAGTTGCACGTCGAGGTTATGCGCGCCATCGCCGTCGGCATGGGCCTCGACGAGCACTTCTTCGACAGTTTCACGGACGCCGGCGACAACACGCTGCGTCTCCTGCATTACCCCTCCGTCGACCCCAACATCTTCAAGATCAACCCCGGCCAGGTCCGCGCCGGTGAGCACAGCGACTACGGCTCCATCACACTCCTATTCCAGGATGATCGCGGTGGTCTGCAGGTCAAGAGCCCTAATGGACAGTTCGTGGACGCCACGCCAATCCCCGGGACGGTCGTTGTTAACGCGGGTGACTTGCTGGCAAGATGGAGCAACGACACCATCAAGAGCACTATTCACCGAGTTGTAGAGCCTCCGAGGAAGCCAGAGGACGGCACCAAGTACCCTCCACGGTACAGCATCGCGTGAGTTCTTTTCTTCCACCTGTTCATGTAGTGGGAAACACACTAACGTCGAACAGCTACTTCTGCAACCCCAACTTCAAGAGCCATATTGAGGCCATCCCCGGCACATACGCCACTGAAGCGGAGAAGAAGTACGAGGGTATTGATAGCGGGACGTATCTTGTGCAGAGACTTACGGCAACTTATTGATTCGCCCAAGGCAATCCGGGTATGTGCGAACTCGGTCTAAAACTGTAAAACCAGACAGCTGTCATTCAATAAAACGCTGTACCTTTATACGTCCCCCGTGATTGTTTCGTGACCCAAACGAGTCTTTTGGCAGACCTCGAAGCCTTTTTTTTTTTATTACCAAGAGGCATAGTGATCCTACCGCTATCGCCGCTTTTATTAACTGGACGGTGAGTGAGTGAATGCCTGGCCGGGATGAAGCGGTTCAATCTATGGTTCGGTCTGATCACGTATCGAAATCGAAACCTACCGAGACGATGGCAGCGAAGACCGCATGCCGAGAACGAGGCATGAATGGAGGTTGGTTGTATTGTAGGCGTCATATACTGAGGGAACACGACGTCCGACGTCGTCGAGTCCCTTTGGGGTTACAAAGTTGGGTGAGTTTTGCTGCTTTTCAGAGATCAAAGTGAGACAGTCAGTCACATGGGTGGCGAGGCTAAGGGGGGGGGGGGGGGGGGGGGGCACCTTATGTATATGCGCACCGTAAACAGAGCTCCAAGCTACCTAGGCCATGTCCCCCTCCACCCCACCCGCAACGTTCTCATCTCACACCCAACTAACACGCAGGTACACGATGAAGAAGACGTTACTCTTGGTTTTCATCCACGGGTTCAAGGTATGTTTTTTTTTTTTTTTTACATCTTATAGTCTGCTGCGCTCATTCTCTCTGACTTTCTCGAACAGGGGGGTGACGACACCTTCGGCGACAAGGACGGCTTCACGGAGCAACTCCGCGCAGACCTCGCCGCCGCGCTGCCCAAGATCAATGTCAATGTCATGGTGTACCCCAAGTACGAGACGCGCGGCGACTTGGGAGATTGCGTGAGCCGGTTCCGTGACTGGTAAAGACCATTCCGTGCTTCCCCTCGCCCCCCCCCCCCCCCCCCCCCCTCACCCCATCGCGTGCGCATCTGGCTGAATCGTCTCTTACTCGGACAGCTGACGCTTCGCCCACAGGCTCCTGGAAAAGGTCATCGACCTCGAGGTCGCCAACGGCACGCCCTCGCCCACCATCGACCCCTCGGTGCGCATAGTGCTGGCCGGCCACTCCATGGGCGGCATCGTCGCCGCCGAGACCGTCATCGGGCTCACCTCGGACAAGCCCATTTATTCGGAAGACGGGGTCGAGAAGAAGGCCGCCGACGACCCGTCGATGCCCGCCTTCAACACCCTCATGTTCCCCTATATCCAGGGCGTCATCGCCTTTGACACGCCCTACCTCGGCATTTCGCCCGGCGTCGTCGCCCACGGCGCTGAGGGCCACTACAACGCCGCCAACGCCGCCCTGACGCAGCTCAGCGGGCTGGGGACGGCCCTCTGGGGCGCCAAGCAGCAGCGGCAGGCCGCCCGCGACAAGGCTCCCGTCGCCGCGCTGCCCGCACCGCCCACAAATGCATCCCAGCAGCAGCAGAGCGCGTGGGGGAAGTGGGGTAAGATCGCCATGGTGGCCGGCAGCGCGGCCGCCGTGGCGGCGAGCGCGGGCGCGGCGTACTACAACCGTGAGCAGATCACCCAGGGCCTGTCGTGGGCGACGTCGCACCTCGAGTTTGTCGGGTGCCTGGCCAAGGGCGCCGAGCTGCAGAAGCGGGTGCAGTACATGGTGCGGCTCAACCAGGAGCTCGACATCGGCTTCGCGAACCTGTACACGCGGCTGGGCAAGGCCGCCGGGTCCAAGGAGGTGAGCGTCGTCGGGACGGTGCTGGGCAGGGACCGGACGTTCTGCAACCTACCCAAGAAGGGGGGCGCCGGGGTGTGGGAGGCCGCCGTGAACGATGCCGCCACGGAGGAGACGCAGGCCCATATGAGTGAGTGGGCGGGCGCGAAACCACGCGTTAGGGGGTTTGCGCGGCTAACTGGGCGACAGATATGTTCGAACCAAAGATGAACCCGGGGTACGACAAGCTCAAGCAGGACGCGGCGAACCTGATTGCGCAGTGGACGCGGAACGAGTGGTACGAGACGAGTGAGGAGGACAAGCTTGCGATCAAGGAGGCGGGCGAGAGTGCTACTGCTTGAGGGGCGACAAATGTCCCTTTCTTTCTTTTTCTTCTTCTTTTCTTTCACTCTCACTCTCCGCTATTCTCTCCCTAACCATAACGGATGGACAGTTGCCACCACTGAGGAACGATGGCATGCGTCCTAGATAAAACATTTCTCTCTTTTTTTTTTTTTTTGTCTATATCCATACCCATTCCTAGTATAGCCCCGGAATACCCAACTGGTCCTTTTTTGGATCTGCTCCTCTTTACTTCCCTCATTGAACGGTTCACTGAGTCTTTGAGCGGCCCGCCTCCTCGGCCTTCAAGTTGCGCATGACCTTGCTCCTCTGCTTCATCATGTAGGTGTACAGAATGTACGAGCCTGCCCACGTTAGCATCCTCACCCTTCGCCGGAAAGTGGGACAGGGACAGCGAGCCTACCAGGAACGTAAATGGCCAGGATGGCGTACGAGACGTAGGGGAAAATCTCGCCGAACTGCTTGGCGGGCTCGGCGGCGTAGTAGATGAGCACGCACTCGCTCGTGATGCCGATGGGGTACAGCACAAAGAAGGTGTTGTAGCGCAGCCAGGTAAGGGGCTTGGGCTGGAAGCCGCTGAGGTTGAGGGCGAAGTACGAGTAGCGGATGACCTCGGTGATGCTCCAGGCGAGCAGCATCGACGAGTACCAGGTGCTGCGTGCGAGCGAGGGGAAGGGGTAGACGACGCCCCAGACGAGGACGAAGCGGCTGAGGACCTGCATGACGGTCGTGAAGACGGGGGCGCGGACGACGCCTGCGAGAGGCTCTGGTTAGTGGTACGTTTCATTGGGCCATTTCCGTCAAGAGGAACTGGAGAAGGGGGGGGGGGGGGGGGGGAGGAGGGCGTTGTCCTCACCGAGAAGCGCGTGGAGGATCTCCATGGCGGCCATGGTCTGTGTCCAGCGCGTCCAGTCGCCGACGCCGAGGTGCACAAAGTGCGGGCCGCGCAGGGCGAAGAGGGCGACGGTGCGGCCGAGGACGGTGGCCCAGGCGACGGCGGAGACGAAGTTGTAGAGGATCAGGTAGCCGTTCTTGAGCGGCGAGGAGCGGCGCTGTGGCCGCGTCGGGCCGGCTGCTGTGTCGGCCATTATCGCTTTGCTTGTTTCGTTCTTGGTCGACCGGGTTATATCACCCGGCTGCTGGCTAGTGATTGATCGAAAGCTGGGAAAGCAAGGTTCGATAAGAGGCTCGTTGATGGCGGTTTTGGTCCCTAAAATCTTTTTCGTCTGTTTGGGAGAATGCAAGGTGCGTGTAGAGACGGGAAGTTTGTTGGGGGTGGAGGGTTGAGCTGCAGCAAGGGTGCGGCTCTTGGAGCTTCTTACACACGTATCATAGGTCAATCGCCTCCAAGGTTCCCGGCCTGTGAATGGCGGGGGGGCGCAGACAGGGCTCCTGTATCCACTGTAAAAGGTACGTCACAGCGCGTTGGTACTGGAGCTGCAGCTGTCGAGCTCTGACCACCTAGATACCTCGGTTCACAATGTCTGACGAACTGAACATCCCAGGCCCAGTCATCTCTAAAATCTAGCGAGGTATAGAGTTTGTTGAACAGATGAAGATTGGGTAAACTGTTTCTCCGCGTCATATCTTTCATGAATGGACAAACGCTACAGATACATGCTACATTTTGAAACCCCCGGCACCCTCCCTGCCATGCGCCCACCGTAATTACATGCGAAAAGTCTTCGATTAAGCCCAGAGGTGGAAGAACATGGCGGACATGAGCGCCACAGGCAGCCAGAAAGCCATGGCGCTGGATTGCCCAAGAAGCTGGCCAGGGGCCGTCCCATTGTGCAGCATCACGGGCTGGCCGAGGGTGTCAGACGAGTCGATACTGCATACGACCTGGCACTCGCCGTCGCCGTCGCGGCGCTCGAGCCAACCCATGGGCCCATGACCGTGCTGGCGGAGGCCGACGTCGCGCTTCGACGAGGAGGAGGACTCGGAGGGGCTGGGCGAGGACTCTTCGGTGGTGTTGAAGACCATGTCGATCCACTGGATCTGCATGACGGCCGATTCGTTGATGTTCATGATTCCCGACCATGACCCGCCGTCACTCCACGAGTTGAGCATGATGCGGCTGGGATCGCGGGGCACCTGGAAGGCGATTTTTGAGACCTTCGAGCCATCGACGAGCCAGGTGCTATCCTTCTCGTCCCAGTCGATGCGGTGGACGGCCCAGTCGCGCCATGAGGTGCCGCGGGGCATCGTGCCGTTCTGTGTCGCCTTGTCGATGGTGTCGCCCTGGGCGGTGAAGGACGGCTGGTTCGTGTACTGGATACGGTTATCGGGGTCCTTGGTCAGGATCTCGATGTCGGCCTCCTGGACATCGGCGTTGGTATCGGCCTCACGGTAGGTGAACAGCGCCGTGCAGGCGCCCGGGGCGCCGATGGTGCGGGCGAGCATCCGGACGGAGGCAAAGTGGTAGCCCATCGAGATAGACTCAATCTCGGCAGACGACTGGAAACCTTGGACACGCACGGTGCGCATGCTCATAAAGGTATCCGACGACGCGTCCTGGTCATTGTTTCGCTCGATGTAGATGTTGTTGGCCGAGTTGACCATGTCGACTGTGGCGTCGTTGCCATCGTTGCCCTTATTGCCTGTGTTGTTCCAGGTCTGAATGCTCCATACCGAGGTCCACGCGTCCGAGTTGAAGTAGTCGGATGTCACCGATGCATTAGCACTCGCGCTCCAATCGGCGAGGGCGTCAGGGACCCCCGCATACTGCCCGAGGTTGCGAAAGTCGAAGAAGAGGTGGTTAGTGAAGTAGCGTTCTGACGTGTTGGTTAAGTAGCAATTGCACACCGAGTCGGCGACGTAGGGGTGGTCATCAGCGACGACCAGTGGGGCAAGTGCGAGAGCGAGGCTCAGGAATGGCGACCGTCTGAAGGACATGATTCCTACTCGTCTGCGTGGGGTTGGCGCCGAGGGATGCGGCTCGGTCAGGAATGGGATCGAGGCTTGAATGTAGAGGAGGGAGGGCATAGTACGACTTAATAAGAGGCAATGGTCATTTCACCTACGAAAACGTGCGGCCTTACGCTCAAAGGGCATGTTGCTAAGAGGCTTCCCTCCATGGCGTCACCGGAATGCGAGACACGATCGAGCGTCTGCAATTTTGCCTTCCTTTAGGGTGCTATCAAAGGACTACCGTCTACACTCTGCAGATTCGTCTACCGCTAATTCTCAGGCTAACGGCAAGGAGTATCGCGGCCACCAAATAGGGGCTGGCGTGCTGGCAGAAACAGGGATCTGGTGATAGCAAAAGCAGGGGTTAGTTATCTACGTCAGCAGGAAGTTAAGGCGTAAGAACAGTAAATAAAGGGCAAGTGGGCAAGTGGAAGGATGGGTGGAAAGGTTGACCGCTTTCTATGATAGGTTTAGCGCTGTGAGTGGCCACTTTCCCCCTTGCCGTTAGCCTGAGAATTAGCGGTAGACGAATCTGCAGAGTGTAGACGGTAGTTGACCAGGCCTTCGCCTCACCCGAGGGGGAAGATGGCCTAGATTGTCGACATTTCGGGAGATGCCCTGCACCCCCAAAGCCTACGCACACATCGTTGTGTAGACGGAGCCATCGAAACCAGCAACAGACAACCCCTTCTGCTAGCGGCCACACTCGGTCTCAGCAGGATCTGGGAACAAACTGCTGCTAAAGCTCAAGCCCGACGTCTGCGGTGACCGAGACGGGCTGGCGCAGGGGCCTTGGCGACTCCGTGTGGTCGAGCGAAAGGCGATCCGCGCCTAGCATCAAGAACGAGCGAGAGGGCTGGTCAGACAGTGGAGGGAGCCGACGGGTCTTGGCGTATCTTGGCCATGAGATGAGCAATGCCATTCGAATCATAGGTATCCGCATGCGGTGGCGGGTGCGTCGCTTGACCTTATGTTCCGCTAGCGTCATTGTGGATGGAGCTTCCCGAGCCTGTCTATTAGGCTTGTAGACGGGACGACGGGTAGGGAATGGATACTAGCGACAAGCACGGCTGCTTATGCAGGACTATCTGTAGCCCCCAGGGAGGCCTGCGGGTTGCATTGGACACTTTGGCGAGGCTAGGCTGAGCTACCAGAGGATACGGCGTTTCCCCGGCTTGGTAGTGAAAGTTCAATGGCGTGTTGCGAATCCGGGTGAAAGACGGAATATGTATGAAAGAGAGAGGGAGGACCTGGCGCTGTGTCTTGCGGGTGACGAGGAGGTCAGTGCAAAACAGAAATCAACATCTTGCAATTACGGATACAGACACCATTAACCCTAGTAATGCGGAGCTGGGCCTGGCCGTCCAATCACGTGCTGCCTCTCGTCGATCCTGTACCCATATGCCGACGACTCAGGCCAGCTGCGGGCCTGTAGGGCTGAAGATGCACTTTGGCTCATCCAAATCAATGGTTGAGCCTTGGGTGGGTGTCCTTTGAGGGGCTGATATAACCTTTGCCGCTCGCGGCTGCCATGTGGGTATCTAACTCGTCGAAACTGTGATCTGAATCCTTTGCAAAACCAACCGGTTATCCAAGAAGTTGCGTAAACCGGACACAAGCCGGCGAGCAAACAATTATGTTTATGCCACATCAGATGATACCTTGGGTGAAGTCGTCCAATACCGTCATCTCCTCAAACTTCTCCATCACCCGATCCACCCTTGCCGCCTCGCGATCTGTCACAGCCAGATCAAGGTCGGTCACAAACAGTCCCGTCGCCCGGCCGACGAGCTTCTGGTTCTTCTTTGCCCTCAGCTCTTGCAGCAGGCCGAAGGCTTCCGCCATGTCCATGGCACCCTTCCTCACCACCATCGATAACAGACCCCCCGCAATCACCTCGGCAACGGTGAACGAGCTGTAGAGGCCCTGGTAGCCGCGGATGCAGCTCAGAAAGTAGAGCCGCCACTCCGGGTTGCTCGTGTCATTGGCCACGGCGTTGGCCACGTGAACGAGCGCCGAGTGGCCGAAGATGCTGAACGTGGACTGCGGATAGGACGCGTATACCTCGACCAGCTCTTTCAGTTGCTCAACAGAAGCTGCGAAGAAGGCATGCATCTGGTCGGCCGACGGCGACCATGACTTGAAGCCGTGCTGCTGATCGCTCGGGATAAACGGCCGCAGAAGGTAAAGAATTGTGCCGTGGAACCACATGCTGTGTGCATCATGAGCTTCGCGACACTCACCGCCCGGGACTGTGAACGGACTTACTGGCACACAAGGACTTGGGGCTGGCTATACTCGCCACGTTCCATGCCCTCAGACAAGTTGTCGGCCCAGGCCAGAAGGTTTATGTACTTCTCCAGGGCGAAGGCCTGCGATGAAAACCCGGGGCTGCCATCGTGTTGATACATCCATGTTATGTGAGACGATATTACCCACAACTCGCAAAAGGCCGCAAAAATCTCCGAGACAGATGATGTCGAAGACGATGATCGGCTTCTCTTCAAAGGGGTACGTGATTGAGACCCCGATTCCGAGCCCGATGAAGAAGCTTCCCTGCTTTCTCTGATACTTGGCGCCTGCTCAGCCTTGGTCACAGGGTCAGCAAGGCCGCCTCTGCCCGGAATCGGGAGAGTCGGTGGATATTCAGTGGTCGCCGGTAGATAGAACTGGGATGTCATGCTGTATGTATCCCTGTCAGGCAGTCTCCTCCGCAACAAAAGCCGGTCTACTATATGCGCACCTTAGAACGTTGAAGACCCCCCAGGCAGCCTGAGTTATTGCTCGGACGTCTGCTTCTGACATGTGGGCAAGGTCTACGGATGTGAACGCATCAGAGCAACCAAATAGCTTTAGCCGTTTGGCCATGGCCACTGCTTCCTTGATGTATCGAACGTCCAGCTCGCCATTGCCGTTACATCCGCAAGACTCGATCATCAAGGCCAAGGCAGTGATAGTGGGCAGAGTGTCATCGCTCTGCGCGAGCCAGAGCTTGCTTGCCTCTTCTTCAAAATCTTGACTCCAGCGAGACGCCTCTGGCTGCTTTGCGGCGTACGCTTGCTGAGCAGGAGAGTTAACTATGGAATCTCATGGACAGGATCTAGGGGAGACTTACGCAAGCGAATGCAAGCAGGGCATTGACGAGGAGAGCAGAGCAATAACGAAATTGACCACCAATCAAGTCATCCAGAAATAGGTCAGCGTCAAACAACCCCAAGAGAGGATGATCTGTTTCTAGGTATAGTGATATGATATCTGCTGCATCTTGGTCGGTGATGGGCACCACGGTCCAGAAACCAATGTTGAGGTTCTTCAACCGGGGGTCTTTGTGAATAGGCGGGGGAGGCGGAGGGAGAGGCCCCATTGGTGGGACAAAGAAAGCTGTGTCATATGGCCGAGTACATGTCTTCGACGAGACTGAAGGACTGTGTTCCGCTGTTTCGGCGGTGACGAGGTGGTTGCCATCCCCTAGGACTGGGAGTATCCCCCCGGCCGAGGGTGCTATCCGCGCCAGCTTAGCCGGCCTAGGTTCCATGCTCCCGGACATCTTCATACGCGACAATCTCCGAGTTTGAGGGTACGCGGAAGGATGTCTCCTTGTGAGTTCAAACTCGATGTTGGAATGGACATGAGGCAGAACTTCGCGGGGGTCTTTTGGCCCGGATGGTCTGACGGAGCGGAGGGAGGCGAACGGGTCGACAGCGAACTTCAGCTTCTGAAGCGTCTGATGAGCAACATCTTGAGGCATCGCCGTGAGCTGAGTCAACATGTCCCGGAGCATCTGGTTTTCTCGTTTAAGGGCCATTGCCGACGTCTCCGTTTCGTTGACACTGATATAGACGCATTGGACCTTGAGCTCTGTGCAAGGTGTGCAGGCGGGCCTTTTGCCATCGCACTACGGTACCAGCCTGTCAGTTTCCAGTATTCACAGACCTGGCATCACTGGAAAGCTGACTGCAATACACTTACAGCCTTCTTCTTGGACCGACAAGCGTTGCAGGCAACTTTGGTGCTCGGTAGTCGTTTTCTCGATAATGCCGGGAGCGGGCGTGAAGGAACCGGTTGTGATGTTTTTGGGGCCGGGAGCAACGCCCGCAACGGCTTGTTCTGATCAGGCATGACGGTCAAAGAGGGGCGCAGCTAGTGCGCCCTAGTGCTTCTCACGTTGAAGAACCCCCTGGATTGGAAGTTGTCTTTCTCAAGACGGTCTTTTCTGGACCGTGCAGGCGCACAAGCGCAGGTGCCAAGAGAGGACCGCTTCGCCCGAAGGCTATTTTGAGCTGTAGGGTTTGCGATGAGGGGGGAACCGAAGGGCATTCGGCGCAAATATGAGAGGAGATAGGGGCATACTAATCGATCTGTGGGCTGGAGAGGCAAAAATACATAGAACAACAGCCCGGAGGAGAAGTTGAGACAGCAGTTGAGGGCGCAGTCTTACCGTAGGCGTTGACATTGACTGGTGGGTTCTACGGCAGTTCCAATGGCGATTGACGGGACGTTCTGTGACAGAGGGACCAGCTGATAGAGCAAAGAATAATGACGATGGACGGAGAAAACCATGCGGTGAGATACCGACAGGGGCTCAATAGTTGATTGCAAGACGGGCTCGGAATAGAGCTGTGGCAAAGTTGCAGAGAGATAACATGTGGTATGTAGGTAGATAGGGGAATGGGGTGGGAGGAAGGGGGAGAAGTAGGTCGGATTGAGCTACAAGTCTTCATCTCCCAGATCCAGCCAGCCGCGCGCGTGCTTGTGTGTGTGTGCGTGCTCAGTGTGGGTTAGTTACCATGGGATGGGATCTATCATGGTCCGGAACTGCCTCCGCCTACTTAGGATGAATCCCCAACTGTAATTATTACCTAAGACTCAATGCGCGCCCTCGCAACTTCTACTTAGCTCTGATGAATTGCGGCCAGACCCATGCAGCAATGACTAAGCTTCATCAACGATTTGCACAGTGTTGCAGCGCGGTGCAAACCACTGACCCTCCTACCCCCGTATTTCTCACCTGTCAAATTGCCGTCACTCTTCCTGCCTTTTAGCGGCATCCATCCTTGACATCCTTGTATTTTGGATTTCAGTTGAATGAATGAATACTTGCACTGATCCGAGCACTGCCGACACAACAACTCTGGAACCCTCTTTGACCTCGTTCTTACCCTGCGCATAACCTGTTTGTTCACCACAGTGCGCTCCAAGTCCACCAACTTCTTTTAACAAGCG